GGTGTTGAAGAGTTTTGTTTTGTTTTGTTTTAATTTGAAATGCAGGATGGTGTCTGGGAAGAAGTGCAAGTGTTCGTGCATAAAAGCATAAATGATAACTGAACAATTAAGTTAACTCCTTTTATCGTCACTATTTAAAACTTAACTTTAGTTGACACTTTAGAAAAGGGGAATCTCTTAAATAATTAGAATACATAGTTACTAGGCTGTAAGATGTAACATTATACATACTCCTAAAAACATCTTTACTGAAAGGGGTGCCTGGGACAGATGCTCATGATAAGCAAGTTGAAAAGTGAGCAACTTCTCACATTCAGATCACCCATGTCTTTTTAACAGAAGGAAAAGAATATAGATACAATGTATGGGCCACTTAAAGCAGTATTTATTGTGAGCTGTTGTGGCAAGAGGTCTTAACTTTATCTTTCTTCTAAAGGTTTGATTGCTATGGTGGATTATCCAAGATAAACACTCCCTTATTGACACCTCTCAAACTGTCACTAGAAGAATGGAGCACAAAGCCGACCAATGACACCTATGGATTATTTGCAGTGGTAATGCACAGCGGCATTACAATTAGCAGTGGACACTACACAGCTTCTGTCAAAATTACAGATCTTAATAGCCTAGAGTTAGATAAGGGAAACTTCATCACTGACCAAATGTACGAAATGATTAAACCAGAACCACTGAATGAGGAGGAGGCGAGAACTGTTGCTGAAGACTACGACGACGGTGAAGTCTCTTTTAGAGTCAATGGAAACGCACAGCCGGGTAAAGTTCTGAACAAAAAGAATATGGAAGCTATCGGACTTCTTGGGGGGCAGAAGAGCAAGTCTGACTGTGACATGTACAACAACAAACCAGCTAACCCTGAGAAGTTTCTCAACGTAGTTACTGAAAACAGAAATCCCGAGTCTAGCAGTACTAACGGGAGCGCGGAGTGCGGCACGGAACACAGCGAGCAAAATGGTATTGCTTCCAATGGACTAGAAAACAAAGCTCTGTACATACTGCAGAGCCTGAAAGAGTATGAAGGAAAGTGGTTGCTTTTTGATGATTCTGAAGTGAAGGTTACAGAAGAAAAGGACTTTCTGAATTCTCTTTCTCCAACATCGTCATCTACATCAACTCCTTACCTACTGTTTTATAAGAAAATTGTAGAGTGATACTGTATTTTGACTGTAAATACTAGGGATTTGCATACACCTATTGGTCTGATTTGCATCAAAACTACCTGGAAGAAGCAGCTGTTCGTTTTTGAAGCTACTGGATCATAATGTTTCTGGTCTTTTTTGTTTGGTGTAAGTGGCTCAACTTGAATTAACAAACCACAACATAGAACTTAACTCATGTAATAACTTTTATGCTGGAGAATAGTGATATTACCTTTTAGAAATGCCTATTTGTATAGTTCCTAAATGATGCCTACAGTACACGGTAGTGGTTTTAACACAACTCTAGGTCTCAGACATGCCTATTGTATTATTAGCTTTTTTTTTTTAAATAAAAGTTATTTGTATTCATATCCTGGAGTAAATGTATATTAACTAGCAAATTTCATCAGAAGTTGTGTATTTTTGTAACTTGGGAAGTAATACTTCATATTTAGTCTTTGGGTAATCGACGTGGTTTATTCTCCTTATCCAGTTCTATACTGCTCGGTGAAACTCGAAGCACGAGAAAAGGGTCTTGTAACCTTGTTTAGTGTATTGGAAGGAACTGAACTTAATAGAAATGTTTGAATGGTCTAATTTGCATCTTGTTGCATAGGTGTTGAATGGGCAAAATGTAAATAGGTGTGATTAATACTTCAAAACAGGGGGAGCGTGTAGTGTAATTAAAATAATTTTGTACTTTTAAGAGTAAAGCCCTCTAATATGCATATCTGTTTGGGTGGATTTGGAACTTAGTGGTGATCTTATAACAGTTAATTTGTACTTAGAGCTCACTGAAATATGGGAAAACAAAAGCATTTGGCTTTGATGCTTTGTTAAGAATGTATATATGAAATAAAAAATTTATGATACACATCTGAGATGACTAGATCAGACTTTTGTCTTTGGAGAGGGGAAAAGCAGAAAGTGAAAGTGGTTGGGCACTTACAAAAAGGTTGGGAAACTATCTCAGAGAAGCGGATGATTTAAAGTGCTTTAAAAAGTAACATTCTTTTGGTTTTTTTTTTAACTGATTCTTGTACAGCGTATCCTAATTTGAAGGCACTTGATGACTAGAGGTAAGGTTCAGAGGCAAGGGGAAAGGGAAACATTATTGTAAAAACGAGTGAAATGCTTAGCACTAAATACTAAAGATTAAAATCCCACATCATCTATTAGATGCTGAAATGTTAAGGTGAATCTTATAAACTGCAGATAATTAAAATCTTTCTTAAGAATATGACACAAAGTAGGATGCGTGTTTACTTCTACTGTCATAGGATGGATGGAATGAGTTTAAGTGCTGCTGCAGAGAGAGACAAGGAAAGATTCACAAGATGTGAGTATGCCCTAGTTTTCTGGATATATTTAAACTTTTTCAATTACAAATTAATTTATTTACAGGAAAAGCCCTAGAAACCTCTACCTAGTCTATTTTGCAATACTTAGGTTTTTTTACAGTCTTTTATTGTAGTGTTTATACTACATTAAGGTAACTCATGAAAAATATCTTTAGTGTATTTTCCATGTTATGGTGGACCTCCAGTTTTTGTACAGGTCTTGATTTTGCAGTATATCCTAGATGATGATATATTACCAAAGTATGTTTCAGTTTAGACAGCTTGTACTGTCAACAGAAAACAGTGTAAGAAAGGCTGGACTATAAATTTAGAGTTGCTTATAAACTCATGCTGAATAGATGCCCATAGTAATTATCTTCTGCAGAGGAGAAAAATCTGGAATTACAAATACAGTAAGACCTCTCCCAAAGCACTGTCACAATAATAAATAATTTCATTTTCTAAACCAAGAAATAGCCACATTTAAAAAAACCCAAACAAATCTGTAATCTTACCTTGCAGGGGTAGCCAAATCACATTACGGAAAGCTATTTTTTACTGCCTGCAGTATGGGGTTTGCTGAATTTCAGCCTGCAAATGAAAGTTTGTTTTTCCACACTTGACCCAAGACTTATCTTTTTCATTCAACTGCAGGAACAGGAAATGTTCCAAGGAAACAAAATACCATTATTTGCAACAAAATATTGGCTACAGTGTAATCAAAGGAAGACCCAGATGTCTTCCATCATACTATGCACCTGGAGAGAAACATTCTTTGTAGGCAGCTGAACAGAAAACACAAATCAGCTGGAATATGCTGAATGAAAAAAACCACTCCTCTGGCATATGGATAGATAATATGGGGTGGGCTTTTTGGAGAATTACTCAAGTAAAGCACTTGCCACCCTTCCTGAACTAGTCACTTGCCACAGTAAATAATGTCCTGTATGGCACATGGCCTGTAGTTTGCCGCAATGGAAAACAAAGCGTGGCTGCCCAATCTTGGCTTTCCACGATACTGCACTCGAGTTCTATGCAATTATCGAGCTGTAAGTACAGCTAAACCAGTCAGATCTACATTGACATGGGGCCATCCAGTAAAACTGAAGCGGGGGAATGGAAAGGCTTAGGTTAGAGAAGTAGTTTTTCTTCACGTAAGGAACTCCACGCAGGCTTTCCCATGTTATAACCCGTAACACAGAACTAGTTCAGGATTGCTTGTCTTCAAGGGAAACGGTCAGAGACCAGCACGCTGAGAAAAGCACCACTGCTATGGAGCTGTTGGAAGAAAAGAGCACAGGAGAAGGAGCAAAAATTGGCAAAAAGTACCGCTGTCCCTTCCCCTGCGCTGTCCTGCTGGGTACCAACCATCCCGCCGGGGCAGCCCGTGGCGGCTCCCAGACCTGCTCAGCAGTAAGAGTACAACCATCCTGCTACCAGCACGCTGACAGGCAGCCACTAATAACTTGAAATAAGTATCAAAAATAAAAGCGACCCTTCCCACCCTAAACCCTCCCTGCTGATGCGGAAGGGTGGGTGCTTGCTGCAGCTACAAGTGCTAAAACAGAAGGGGGTGAACCCCAAAGAAACACCCCCACCCCCCCAGCACCTTCTAATATACGGGAATGTGTACCTTAGAATTGAAGGTAAAAACTATTTAGGTTTCACAAGTCAAATACTCACAAATTGGAAGTGACTATGTATAATTGTTTGCTGTCCTCAAAGCTCGTGTATAAACCCCATTTTTTTTCTTATATTTTTATATATATAAAAATGTACATTTATCCAATTTGGGTTTATATATATACACACACGTATGTATGTATATATATGCATATTTAGGTATTTATAGAGAGAGAATAAGCTTGTGTTTAATCACATGCCACCTCTTCCAAGGGACCTTGTTCAATACAGAGAGGAAAAATATAAAGGACTAGATTTAGGAGTTGTGTGCTCAGCTCCAATTCTGGTGTTTCCTTGAAGTGCTGTGTTAGCCACCAAAACTGCTGTAAACCAGATGTTTTTCTTTACATAAACAACAATGCAAAGAATGCTTTCTATGTAAGTTTTTAACTAAAACTGTGATATCATTTTATGTTCTTTTTCCCCGTGAAATTAGTTTCTAAATTGAAAGAGAGACACAAAAAGCAGTCTAGTCACATGTACACTGCTAAGCTGAATTGCACATTCAAAGTTATGAGGAGATTACTGTGCTGTTTGGACTTCCTAGCTGGTGGAAATGACCACGTACACGCAGAAGTCATGCTGAAACTCCACTGGTACTGAAGGAGGTAAGGTGGTAACAAGATGTGCCTTCATTCTTCTGACGGCTACAGATGGAATTATTTTTCTTTGCAGCAATTCATATTCAGAATTACAAAGGGAAAAGGATAGGGATAATAAAAAAAATCACCACTTGGTTAAGAAGTGTTACTGTAAGACTTACCTTTCTCTGAACCTTTTTCCCAAGGATGGCAAGCTCTGAAGTCCAATGCACAGGGAATTAAAGTGTAAACATTCACATATTTAATAGTACCATCAAAATAACCATCATCACTACATTAAAAACTTCAAAAATGCATTTGCTTATGGTCCTAATATAAATTAAATATATGAACTAAAAGTAAATAAATTTAACATTAGGTAATGCTATAAATAAAGGTAAATGCGTTTAGTGTACCTTTGAGTCATAAAAATGCCTTAAAAAACAGGTAAGTTTACAGCTTATCACCAATACTCTGGATACCACTGTCATGATTTTTTTTTTTTTTTTTTTTTCAAACATTGATAAGTCTACATTTGACAATTCAGAATGATTTTTGGCCACTGAACACTTTGATGGAGGAAGAGGTGTGTGGGATGTCCAGGATGAAGTCCAAGTTTTATTTCACAATAAAACTTCTTTGATTCCCAGCGCTGATAACAAGGCTCTTTCTTTTCAAAACCTTAATTTTAAGTGCTTTTTTATTTTGGTTTTTAACTTGTTTAGATATCCATTTTGCGAAGGCTCATCCTGCTGAAGGAGTCTCTGAGGGAGAGAAAATACAATGATGAGCTCATATTTTCCATGATGAAATAAGAAGCCTCATCAGATGAACGATTCTGTACTTCATTTCCAGTATTTTCTACAGCTGCCTACTACAAAAATTAAGTCCACTGACATTAACTCATTGCTTTTCAAATGAATCGGTTTTGGCTCTGTGTCTGGGATCATTCAACTGCCCAAGGTTTACTGACATGAAAGCTGACAGAAAGTTTAATTCATGTGTACGTAGAGAAGCAGCACAAACCATCTGCACTACTGAAGTCTTATTTAAGTAAGTAAGTCTTTCAAATAAATCTCTAGTGGAATTTGCCTGGAATACCTGTATTAGACTCCCTGCACGGACTGAACTTCACAAGACTAGAAAACAATCGCCACGACAAACGTGCTTGTGAGGTTCCCACCCGGATGGGGAGGGAAGCACTGGTACTCCCACCATCCCCAGCCAGTGAAACCTGACTCCAGCAGAGAACAGCTAGCACACAGTACGTGAATGATAATGAGGGAAGCCACCTTTCTGCAGTATTCAGCAGACAGACACCAAATTCAGCTACAGAAACATCGCTAAGCACTGCTGTGTGAGCTGGGAACACTCATTTCCTTCTTCAGCCAGCACTAAGTCTTGCTCTTTTTATAACGTAGTTTTGCCAAGCTTCTCTTTTCACATTTTTTATGTTCCCCATCGCTCTTTACCTCTGAACAACACTTGCATGAGGAGAGGTTCAAAACCAGGGCTGTATTCTCCTAAACCAATGGCATGGACATGAGCTGCACTCCACATTCACACCAATCTCCTAAAGGGTCTGTCGTTAAAAGCACCATCACCATCCCGCTCGGTGCTAACAAAGCGCCTTCCAGAAAAAAACTCCACCCCACTCTCTGGTGTGAGACCACGATGCCAGGGCAGTGCAGTCTTGCTGGATTGCATTAGCCTACTTTGCTGACAGGGGACACAAAAGGAGTTGTCAAGCCAAAGATTACGTGGAGGGTACCTGCTGGGAAACACCTCGGACCCTATTCTGGGAGCCAGAGCCTTGTTAGAAATTTGATGTACCCGAAGTCAACCTGCTCAGCCACAGCTGGTGCCAGGGGATTACAGTGCTACGGGCTCTGGCCTGCTTCATACATTCCCAGTGGGGTTTTTATGTTCAGTCTCATTGCAGACGAACAAAAAGCCCGGACTACAACTTACTGGTCTTCCAGCATGGAAGACACTAACTATTTTTCCAGCCTGCCTGTCCCTGGAGCTCCTCATCCCAGTTTCACTGGGAACAAACACGTGTCAAAGGCCTGCCACACTGAGGGTGGTTTTGAATCTAAAAAGAATGGGATGCAGGATGAAAAAAAAAAAAATTGTCATAGATTAGGAACAAAAAGGAACCATTGCAAACACCACCTACCATAACTGCTGGGAAGGGGATGTGCTCTGATGTCAGGACAGAAGGGAAAAGGGATGGACTCAGCCAAAAGAGCCGTAATTGAAAACAAATAGACGTCCCAGGTTCACCAGGAAGATCAGACACCCCAGCCCCCAGTTTTACACCCTCTTTATCTCTGCTGAAAGAGTAAAATCAAATATCCACCTGTGGCAAGTGACCGGCAGCACTGCCTTATACAACTGTGGAATCTTTCTATTTATCAAGGGTTGGAGAGCTTCCTTTAACCGGTGATAATTCCTTTCAAGTTCTCGCTGATATTCCTTTTGGTCTGGACCAATCAGGCTCTTGTTCTTGCGCAGAGCATCTTCGCATCTAGAAAACAAAAGCCTGTGAAACTTGGGCATGTAAAAAAGGACCTGCTTGCTACAGAGTTGTTAATCTAACAGTACAAAAAATTCATTCTGTTCCTCTGGGATGACACATAATATCCTTCTCTGTCTTGTCTTTTGGGTAATAAAGACTTAGCTAAACAACCTGGTGTCCATGGGGAAAGGAGAGGGTCTCATATTTCCAATTTCCATTTCACTTCCAGAGTGACAACTCCTTTTTCATTTTAATTTACTCTCCAGTTACGTTTATCCTCTCTGAAGAGAAATGAAAAGCTGATCTCCACATAGCCACTTCCAGTCCAAGAGGATTTAAAGACTGATAGATCTACTGCTCTCCTCAGGAAAGATTAATAAATAGCAGACTGAGATGTTCATCAGGAACTCTTCTACTTGCAAAGAATTAATTTAAACAAAGAATATGAAAAGAACTGTATCATCAATGCCATTTATTACATATGGGAAAACTATGCTGCCACTGGATCTATTTGCTTGGAACATTTTTATTTCAATTATATATATTTTTTTTAATTCCTTAGTGCTTGCAAAAGATGCTGGACTGAGACTGCAGTTTGCATTACTCAAGAGGAAAGCAGAGCAGGCAGCACATTTCTTGAGAATTCTGCCAGCATGCTTCCACTCTATTTGGAGAAATTCACTTAAGAGGGAAATTAAATCTCCTGGCCAATTCAGCAGTTTCTCCTGACCCTGTCAAGCTGTGAGTTCATTTGTGCCAGCGTGGCTAGTTGTGTTTTCTGAAACAGGAACACTTGTTGACAACTGAACTGTGATCACTAATTCATTCCTGATAAACAGCAAAGCCGAATGACTTCAGCCCCTTAAGTCATGGACCAGCAGCACCAGAGAAACAGGGAACCAACTGGGCAGCTGAGGAATACAGCTGCATATGGAAACTGGACAGATGGAGTTACAACATGAATACTCCTCTCTCCCAATACCCCCTGTGTTACTGTACATGTTTCTGTCTGGTGTGGTAGTAATAACTGCATCTGGCAGGCAGTTTGAAGACAATACTCCATACCTTTTCGTGAAGTCTTTGAAACAGAGCCGTAGTTTGTTATGGTGTCTGAAGAGCTTTGGATCATTGGGTATTTCAGACAAGAAAACTTGTGCAACTTCTAACGGTCCCTTTAGGAGCAGAAGAGAAAAAGTAAGTTTCTTCAAATCATCTGTCACATCCAATTACTGGAGAAACTTCTTGCACATAGAAACATTTGTAAAATGCACCATTTCTTTACAGAATGCATCTTGAAAAATTGCAGCTGGTAAATCTGGCATAAATCACCAAACATCATCACAACTGAATCTCTTTAAGGCTTTTTTTGTTTGTTTTAAATAAAACTCTGCTTTTGGAAAACAGTGTGAGAAAATGCAGAGAGCCTATACTTCTTTTCTCTTATAAGGACTCTTGACAAAGTTTGCTCAGCTCACAACTAAGATAAAGTTTAAACAATGCAGATGGAACCATAGAAGTGTTTGCCAGCACTGCAAACTCAACCCAGAACTTGAAACTCCAGCTGATTTTTTTCCAGCTTGTGCATTAGTGGAGCTTTACTCATACTCCCTCAGTTTTTCCTCAATTTTTCTCCATTTACCAGTTTTGCTTTCCATTTTGCTCAAAAACCACAACAGGACACAATCCTACTTCCACCCACCAAAGCCTGGCTAACCAAAGGGAAAGTAATAAAACTTTTTTTTTTTTTTTTTTTAAAGGGGAGAAGTAGAAGGAAGCAGAAACAACCATGAACGCCAGGAAGGAGCAGGTAACCGAGGGAGGGCTGTCTCCTCTCAGCCACTTTCCAGACCTAACCACATTTTCAGGACTCTTACTCAAATGGCAAAGTCACTGAGAGCGGGTGGTCTAGACCTACCAGTGACCTTAAACACATCCCATAGACTGAATGGGGAAAAAAATCCAACATAATTTAGAAATAAGGCCCAATGCTGAGCATCCACTGCACTGAATGATATGTACTAGCCCAGTGTCTCCAGCTCAGACAGCGATCCTCACCTGATTTACTGTGGTACCTACTGATCCTTGCAGCACCATCTGCAGCATCTTTGGGTCCGCAGGGTCTTGGTGGGTTGCAAAAGCCAATTCTTGTGTTTTCTTCTGCATGTCCTCTATGGCAACTTCAATGGGTGTCAAAATGATCTAAGCAAGAATAGAGTACGCTTGTTATGGCCGAGACTGCCAACCAGACACAGACTTTCAGAAACACACAGGTCACTTTGGGGTGGCACACTGAAGTGGTAGAGGACACCAACAGGACTGACAGTCAGGACAGAAGCACTTCAGAAACGCATCATCTCAGTCTTGGTTTAGGAACATCAAGAAAAAGTTTGATTTTTAAATGTGTTTTTACATCTGGGTACTCAAGAGCTTTCTAGGATTGCTTCTGAGCGGGCAGACTCGTGTCCCTTTGCGGTCACTGCAACCAGCTGCCCAGGGTTACAGCTCTATATATCAGTGCCTAAGCATTTTTCATTGTGTCCCAGCGATCACATCAGTTCCTACCTACCCTTGAAAAATAAGCTATAGGACAACTCTCTCTATAAAGCCTCAGGATCCCACTGGCCTAGGGCCATTGAGGCCATGCAAGTGAGCTGCAACACAGAGCAAAGGACATGCTGTTCAAGCAGAATGGAAGGGAGCAACCTGCATTACTACAAAGCTCACTGAGGGCCCCTGCATATACCAGCTGCTGTGATCGGGATACGCTGGTGAAAGAGGTGGCAGGACATACTGCATTACTAAATCGGTCTGGGTTTAGTTTAGGTTGAATAGGAACAGGGAAAAGTTCAGAGGCATTCTTAAACTCAAAACGAAGGAGTCATTGCAGTGAATGACCAGAGCAGCTCACGATGGCACTGTCTGCTCTCGCTCTCTGCCGAATTCCTGCATCTTTAACAGAGGGGGGGAAGCTAGGCTGGTGACGGCCAGGAGGGTGCATCTGTGTTAATCTGACAGTGTGAAGGGACATGGCCATGGTATTAAACTACAAATACAAGAGTAGATCATGCACGAGTTTCAGCAGCATCCACTTCCCTTAGCCTTTTATAATATTTCCCTTCAAACACAGGAAGGCCCTGACAGCACAGCCCTCACCTCCTCTTTGTGAATGACGTTTATCCTGGTTTTAATGTAAGGGAAGGCGTGGGACGTCGTCAGGATCGTTTTGCGCTTGAACTGCTCGTGCAGCTCCCCGTGAGCTCGGCCATCCAGCGTGAAGGGCGTGCAGTACATGAAACGCCGCAAGTTGTAGTTTTTGTCGAAGTAAGTTATCCTGTCCTTCATCTCGTACGTGTCAAAGTACGGCTCCACGTAGGTTATCTGAATGTAGGCCTGCAGGAAGGAACCCAGGTGGGCACAGTGAGGTACGGGTCCAGAGGAGAAGAGCCGACTCCTGCGCCCTGCTTTTTAGCAGTGAAATAACTCAGCTAGCTCTCTTTCCTCTTGAAGCCACCTCTGGAAGAACTAGGACTTGGTTTTGCCTTTACTCAGAAAAATCACACTCACATTGACAGGGACCAGGGGTGCTGGTAGCTGCTCAGCAGTTTCTGGACTGGATAAAACACAGCTCACTGCCCCTCTCCTCTCATGCTCTTCACATGAAGCGTCTCCTTCCTTTCCCTGCAGATAATGCCCTGTCCTAAGCCACAGTCCTGTTTCTTAGGCACGCTCCTTTTATTTTTGCTACGCTTAAAGGACATGGCACAAGAGTGACAAAATGCTGCAGCTGCACAAAAGCCAGAGGCCAGCGAATGGCAAACTCCCTTCCTTTCCTGCACTAAGCAGAGACTACAGAGAAAGGCAAATGCAGCCTGGGCCTCTGCTGTCCTTTCGTCTCCTCCCTTCCCACCAACCACTACAAGGGCAGGGAACGAACTGGCTAATTCTGCATTCCTTTGCTGGGATGGTTTTCCCCAGCTCTCATCCCAAGCAGTCACAAGACGCTCTGTTCGTGGATTTCACTGCCTACTTGGCAAAATTCAGGGCAGGATTTGTCCCATTATGTTAGCATACATTCAGGGTCTGTTCTACTTCTAAACCTGTACTTGGGTTCTTACCTTGTTAGGATCTAGTTTACATTTGTCCACAGGGTTTGAGTCCTTAATCACTTCAAGCACATCTTCACCAAACCGTTCTCCGTAAAATCCCTACAATCAAGAGCAAATGCGTTGAAAGAAAACGTCAAATGCAGCCATGAGAGATGGGGGTTGGAAAGACAAAGGCATATTCAGGGGAGGCGAAGCTCCACATGCCTTCAACAGTAGCTGTGCCGGAGCTGAATGTGATCTGCTGAACCTAGGAGAATTAAATCAGTCGCATTCCAGGGGCAACAGGAAAAAACAAGCCTAACACCCTGGAAGGCAGGAGAACTCGGGAGCCTTCCAACTGCACGCACACACGCTGCGTGGTTCTGAACAAGCCATTTGAGCTCGCTGTGTGTCTGTGAGCTCAACTGAAAACTGGGGTCAATACGAGATCTGCCTGGAAATCAGGTGCCGCATCAGAGCACGGCTTTGCTGGGCTGGGTGAATGGCCAGGTTCTGAACTCAGTTTCATGGGCTTAAACCTCAAACAACGCTGCTGCTTCCAGCGCAACATGACAGCAGCTGAATTGTTGTGAGCAACAACGTGACATCAGATCTGTTCTAGCAAATAAAATAGGGCCAGGTCTGCCCTCTGGGCCCTACGAACAAGTAGCGTGGCACGGCCCAGACCCATGCTGCTGAACACTCTTCCTCTCCCGCTGGGGATGGCCTCATACGTGCACAGATGAGAACAGTCTCTGACCCATGCTGTTCCCCAGACTGTGTTAAGACATTGTCTAGACACAGGTTAGTTGGCACAAAACCAGGCCAGGCTAACCGTTACACGGTACAGATGGTCACTGGGTGGTACCCGGAGCTGCACCCAAGCCCCAGTTAGATGAATCGAGAGTTGCCTTTGCTTGTTCACGGCTGAAACAAACTTCAGACCTGTGATGTCCCACCTCAGGGGCTCTGAAATTCAGCCACCTTAGAGGGTTCAATCTCTAGGAGTAGAGGAACACTATGTGAAGGCAACAAAATGACAGCAAAATGCAATACTGTCTGAAAGTCAGATACTGGAAGACATGTCAACCTTTTTTCAAGCCCAGGTCATCATATCCTCACCAGGCGGCTGAAGAGAAATGCAAACACAGGATGATGTGCTACAAATTCTCGAATGATCTTGCTGCAAGATCAGGGAAAACCTGTGGGACTCCTCTCCCTCCATTCCTCCCGCCTCCTGCAGCGGTGGCACCAGCAAGAGGACAGGAGACGTCAGGCCCAGCTCTCAGTCACTGCATGGGGCTCCACAAACTGTTTTGCCAAGTGACTTGTTTCTCTAAGCTCAGCCTTGCGTCAGTCTCCAAGAGGCACAGCGCTGGTTTTGCCCAACGATTTTCATTTCCGCCGCTTCCTGTAATTTGGTAACGCGGCTCTCAAATAACTGATGCAACAATAGTTAAAACTGCAACTCACAGACAGAATTTGAGGTCAGCCACAATTATCTCACCTCGAGCCTATGGGAAATTTCAGCTAACTTTGTTATCGCGGGTTCCTTGTAAACAAACTCTTGCTCATCCAGGTCTCCAAATTTAGTTCCATAAAAACCGACCCGGAAGTAGGTGCCAAACATCCTCTTTCCATCCTAGGTTTGGAGAAACAGAAGGTTATTTCAGTGTGGAGACATGCATACCCCCGAGCACGGCTGCAGGCAGACTCCTGAATTTATGCAAAATAAAAAAGAAATTAAGAAACAAGGAAAAAAATAGAAAGAAAGAAGGGAAAGAAAAAACACACCTGGAACTCAGCATGAATGCGTTTAGCAGCAAACACCGCAATGAAATTATAAACTAACATGGAATTATATGGATCAGTTAGGACCATTAGCCCAACCCTGCAATGACTTTTCCCACCCCAGGAGGAGTCTGGGGGTGTTGGATGTCTCTGAGGAACAGCCAAAGGCAAGTCCCTTCATTTGGGTAATTATTTCAGGCTCTCCAAATCCTGTGCAGACACCCCTTAGCCTGGTCCGTAGCCTGTAGGCACAGGCGCAGGGAGGTCCAGCTGCTGACAGCCTGCAGCACGCAGGGAGGATATTGCACACAGACACCCCTGAAAATCACCCACACCGGAGCCCCCGTAATCCACGCTCAAGTAATTGCAGGATTGGGCCGAAGTCATTGTCTGGTTCACTCACACACACACGCAGGTGCTTTTTAAATAGCATGTCAACTGGAAGGTGTTATGTTCTCTTCTAGTAACTAACGTCTAGTAAAGAGGGCCAAAGTCACTCCTGGTGAAAGCAGATGCAATCCACTGTATCATGTACCTGCTTCCATTTGAGCCAGTGGTGAATTTGGCCCAGAAACGCAACAAAAGTAGAGAAACAAGAAAGATTTTTGCTGGAAAAGTAACGAAGAAAATCTGATTGAGAGAGAGAGAGAAGAAAACACTTTAAAAATAAATCAGACCTTTGATTTTTGTTAAAAAAAACTCACGCTGCATGCACAAACCAGAATGCCTTTCAGCAAGAAACTCTAAAATGTTCACCTTTACTCTCGTGAGAAAGTGTGATGTAGTATATAATGCTCAATGTTTCTGAATCTGGGCTGGTGTTTGGTTTCAAACAGCACTTACAGATGTCCTGGCTGCTGTGTATGATTTTTTTTTTTTTTAGTATTTTGCTATGGCAAAACTGATCTCTTGTGGTGATGGTGAACATGATCCATGGAAGGCAAAGAAGATAAATAAGCCAAACTAACATAAATAAGAAAAAAACCCTCAGGCAAACTCCAGAGACTGGAAAAAGCACTGTCACAGCAAGCCACCGCCTTCTTGTGGCCTGGAGGAAACTCTGGGCTGTCACTCCGGAGCTGCCCTGGCACAGCTTGGCTCCTTTTGCCTGAGGGACAGCCAGGAGGATGCGGCGTTGCTTTTTTGGGGTGAGGGCTGCTGCTCGCCCCAAGTACCTTCAGTGGGGCAAAGCTCACCGATGCCCAGCTCTGAAGTGGAAGTGAAGCCTGAAGCAACCAGAGCCAGCAGCAGCCTTGCTTAATACGTGCAGGCCACATCTTGGCTTTACTATGGGACATCGCCAGATACAAATTCATCGGCTCTGCTCTGGCAAGAGTATGGACACATGCTCCAATTTAAGAAAACAAGGAGTCGCACCGAGAGTTGCTCATATGCTTAATGGGGGGCAGGCGGCTCCTTGGACCCCTGCTCTAGCCCATCCCTCGGAGCATCCCTCCTCCAGAGAGGAACTTTTATCCAGCTCCACCTGCCAGCGTAGACTACAGGGTTTCGTCACACCACAGCCATCCCCAGAAGCACCTCCCAGTGTGTGACCCTATTCTGCAAAGCTATTCTGTTTTATTGGAAGTACCATCTGGCAACATCTGGTTGCTATTTCCCTGGACTCCCTGTCTTTCTTCAGTGCCCATCCTGCTGGACCCATACAGGAATGAGCAGTCTACTGAACCCTTAATTTACTCATCGCTGCCTTTTCAAAGCCGCAGTTTTGGGCAATATTACCCATCCTAAAATCCCTCAATGCCCAGCATTTCCAGCTTGCTGTGCTGTTTTTTGTTTTTTTTTTTTTTTTTTTTTAATTCAAGGTAGCAAGAAGTCTCCCTAACAGGAACTGCCATACGAAACAGCTCCCCAAACCTTACACGGGGCCTGGGCACGCTCCACGTGGAAGTTGGTGGGATCCTGCCCCAACCCACAGACACGGGGCCGGCCCCAGCGATGGAGGGGACGCTGCTGCTCTTCTAATTCATGTGCTTTTTCCTACCTACTCGGCGAGTGACTTTCACAGTATGAAGCATGTGCAGAACCTGGTTCCTACAAGGTGAGTATCTGCCATGTGGACATCTGCCCAGACAGCTATTCGTTACAGGCAGCGTTCATTTATGTTGCTGTAAAAATAACGAGGGAGGAAGAAAACAACGCTGTCTGTTGATCAGCATAAATTAACAAGGAGTTCTGGTGGCATTTACTAAATGCCTAAAATAAGAGTAATGGGGCATTGGGAAGTCCCAGGAGTGGTAGCAGCAGGGAAGCCCGGTGAGATTCAGTGCCCCCGTGTGAAGGCAGCTCCCAACTTAGGCACTCCTTTCATCATCATGAAGACCAGCTGCACTGGCTTTTCCTGATAAATCCAGTCGCTGGAACTCAGTTATGATAAGGATCCCAGGGAGAAGAGCTGACAGCGAGAAGCACTGGTTAGCCCATCATGCGACAGAAAGATCTCCCCACAAAGCCCTGGATCCATCAGCCATGAAATATATGTGACCCATACTGGGGGATCTGTACCTGGGAGCAAAGGGATGGAAATAAACTTCTTCTGGAGAGCAAACCCCTATGGGCCATTCCATACCTCACACACACATTCAGTAGCTGCCAGTCCCCTGAGATTAGGAGAGCTCAGTTTCATGCCTGGCATTAAGAATATGGGATGGCTCTGTACTAGGGTCTTTGAAATTTAGCCAATACCAAAGTCTATCTAATCATAGTACTGAAAACAAACCAAATAACTTAAAAATACTCCATGGTCTTGTTTCTGAAAAGAGCTAAAAATGCAGATATGAGGGAGAAATTATTAAAAGCATTTTATCTCCTATTATTTTATGAAAAATAATAGGTCTTTGGGAGGAGAAGAGAATGAAGGTGAACACTGAATAGCCATTACAGAACTGGCAGAGCAGATAACAGCCATCATGATTTATGAAGGTTCATGATTTGTTATTATGCATGGTAAATACCTTTCAAAATTGCTGGGAATAAAGTTTTAGAGTTATCTCTTGCACGCACACAAAAAGCTTTGCCAACAAGATTTGAAAAAAATCAGACACAAGAGTGATCATCTGCTTTCTTCACCAAGACCAACACAGCAGCAGCTGCCTGAAGACAGAGTCAGCCTGAGGTATGTAGGAATAAAACTAACTCCTTCAATACACACTGTGCAGAATGCAAAAGCCAATCATCTTTACCAAACTGATCACTGTTATTTTCTTGCTCAATTTTAAACCAAGGTCCTTTGCAGTGTTGCCAACTATTACAAGTCTTCCAATATTGATTTTTTGAGAGTACCAGCTCCTGGAGTCCTGCTATTTGATGGCAACCTCACCGTGCATACTCTCAAAAATGCTTTAAAAAGCATTTTTGAGTTCTCATGGCATAGCATGAAAAGATTTTCCCTAACAACTTTCCTAACTGGAAAGTAAACAAAAAGAACTAATTCAACATTTATTCAATGAACAAACACACAAGCAGAAAACCCCACCACTTGCTATGTTTAAGCAGATCTCAGAAATGCATTGGTGCCAGATTCAGGCTACGTCAGTGCTTGTAGTTGGCAATACTACTTTCCTTGTGACATGGGGGGGCGGGTCCCGCTGTTGGCATAGCTCTTTGGCAAAATGAAATTGGGGTTTCCACAGTGTAAAATAAAAAAAACAAAAAGGGGGGCCGGGGGGGAAGAGAGAGGGGGGAAAAAAAAAATTCCACAAGTAGGAACTTACCACAACAGACAATAGTAAGAGTGGGGAGGAGGGTCAGCAACCAGGGCGATAGAGGAGAAAACAGAAAGTATTTAATTAGGGAAATTCCAAAAAACAAACAAGCAGCAAATTGGCAGCAAATAAACTTTAAAATAAAAAAGGGTGAGCATCAATTAAAGTATTTAAAATAAGGAAAAAGGGCAAAACATGCAACAAATCTGAAAGCTACAAAGCACAAAGATCAGAAAAAGTGTGGCAATGAAGGAGCACGACGACAGACGAGAACTGAAACCATGGGTGTCTTTTACCATGCAGTAAAACATGACTGAGTGATGTTAGAATCATAACCAATGACAGGATTTTCTTCAGGGGTCGATTTAGGGGCAGACTAATCAAAATAGATGCTCACAGGCCTTCACATTTGTTGGCTATTGAACACATATCATTTACACCCCTACAACATGTATTCTGGATTGCTGTGCTGCCTCCTCTGCTGGGACTTTTCACAGGAACAAATAAACGATTTACAGGGCCAGCCCTTAAGTGTCAGTGTTTACTTTTAAGCTACTGGATTTCATTTCTTGCTAGGCTGGAATTAAAACTGATGTTCAGACACCAGCAGCCCAAATTATTTATGTCACACAATGCCAAAGAAATTCGGTCTTGGCCCCAGTTCAAGTGTGGGCTTCAGTGCTCTCCTGTGGTGGAAACCTGGAGTGAGATGGCCCATACTGAGTTGCCTGACTCACAAAAAAAGCAGAGATAAACTGGACAGCTGACATCTAAGCAAATAATGTAACATCATATTCACTAAACATTTAAAATGTCTTCTGAGACTTCTCGACGCTCGTGTACCCACTGTGTTGACTGGACTAGGGCCTGAGTTATCCAACTCGTTGTGCTGTGTGCGACTGCAGATGAAGCTGACTGCTTTGTCTATTTTTAATCCAAATGTGTGGTTCTCACAGTGTATGTTGTAGAAATGTGAGCAAACAGCCTCTACAAAAATGAAAGCAGCAAAACTGACTCCAGTTAACACAACCAAGCTATTTTACTGCCAGATAAACAGCTACATAACATATTGATTGTTCTTAAACAAACAGAACGAAGCAGCCTATTCTCTGAGATATGGTCTGCACATGCAGTAAACCAGTTTTGTGTTTCAGTACCTCTGAGCATTATTGCTTAAATCGACCCCTGTGGGTGGGGTGAAAATATGGCATGAAGGGATGATATTCTGTGTCAATGCTGATGAAAAGAAATATAAACAAATTATAAAAACAAACTAGTGATGATACAGTGGCTCATTCACCAAAGAACCTCATTAGTGGAACACATCAGCATCCATGCACTACCTACAGCTTCTTATGAAGAATTTCCTACTACAACCACAATCGGTTTATTGGTATTTCTTTGGTTAATGAATTGTTTTAACAGCAGACAGCAACAGAAATACCCACAACTAGCACATGTGGGCAAGCGTTGGCGTGAGTCATCTGAAAAAATCTATTAGTGTTCTTTACTAACTAAAATGGAGTTACCTACCTCCCAGCCAGTACTCTGTGTAATAAAAAGTAAAAAGCGCATGTCACAGAAACCAAAAAAAAGTTTCAAAGGCCAAAACATGACCATCAATGTAAGGTATCATAAACCTGAAATGGTTTCAATGATTATAAGTCATCATGCACCCAAAATGGCCTTCTCTGGCCCAGAAGGACACTCAACGATTGTCCTCTATCGGTTCATTTAACCGCAGGAATCTGGCAATGCCAGAACACAGAGAAAACCACCAGACCCTCAGCTGGATCCTATGAAATCCATGTACTAATCAACATCTACGGAGGAGCTGATGGCAGCATAAGGTAACTGCACCAACAGACAAACAACGTACCCAGCAGCCCATGACCAGAAAGCTGACTGGGGTGGGGGGATCGGAGCAGCACTGGCATGTACTGGAGGAGGGTCTGCCGGGTCCTTGCCTGCCCTGACAGAAAGGCACGCACCCAGCAGGCCTCTCCTAGAATATAACACGTGCTTCTTGAGAGTTGCCAAGTGCGCTCGTCTCCTGCTTAGCTGAGGTCTGTCAAGCTTTGTGAGGGTTGGTAACTTCTGATGTCTCTCATCAAATACTCAGCACCTAAGCTGGTGGGTTTTGCACCATCTAAGCTTCAGAAGGTTCTATCAATAATTTATCCACCATATGAGCAGACAAATAAAACCCCAACATTTCTGAATGTTACCTACCGGGCTAAAGGCAAGATACAGTGGTTATTCCCAGCATGCAAAACACAGTTTAAAATAACATTTGAAAGGATAAACTGCCAGATGATTGGAATTTTTAACTCTTGGATATTTCTGAAGTTACAGTGAAACTTGGTATGTGGTGTTCTCTCATGTTTCTCATGTTAAATGTCCAGAGAGAAAAAAACGCCTGTTAGTGATCCTTGCATTTACTGTGGGTCACCATTTGACAAGTCTCATGTAATCTGATTAGAATAGTTTTTCCTCAATAGGTAGTTTTTATTTGCTGAGCATTTGAAGTTTCTTCACAATTCACATTGCAGCTGAAAATTCAAATCATTACCTGGTGAACAATCTTGCTGAATGCTTCCTGGAGTTTACCATGAATAGTAGATAGCTTCTTGGCATCTCTATTAGCTTCATGAATAGGAATAAGGACTTTGTAAACCTCATTAACTGCTTCATACATGCCAGCCTACAAAAATAAGGTCCATCAGATTGCTCCATCAATTCAACAGTAAGAATAATATATACTCTCAGCATTTAAATTATAAAACTGCAAAATGAAAAGGTGGCTTAGATACCACTGTGATGTAATCAGCATTTTTTCTTAACATATACCCATACATGAATGGAATAAAATCCTCAGTTACCCTTGTAATCAAGAGCCTAATGCATTACACATTGCTACGAGAAATAAGATTATTAACAGAATCAAAACTAGGATATTTTGGATGGATATATGCACAAGAGCACAACAAGCTAAATAGGATCCTAACCAAATCTATGGGAATTAAAATATGGAAGCTTAAGTGCACAGTACAGCTCATTCTATTTAGCACATCTTCAACCTAAGCAACTTCTGCATCCAATTTTGGCCCTCCGTGAGACGGGCTTTGTGAAGTTTCCTTAGGATGTCTCTAACGGAGGGCATCCAGCCCATCGCAGGCAGAGACACTGCATGGCATGGCTCAGCCAGCCCACAGCAGGGGTTCTAGGTCTTTGCCCTGGAGTTATTGCTGCTTGTACTTAAACGCACTGAATGATATTTCATGTTGTGTTGTGGGAAATAATTCACTTGCTTTCCTTGGTTTCTGATGGATACGCTACTACCAGCTCATTAACACTGCTTGCACAAAGCTCTCGGCCCACTCTTTTTGAAGAGGAGGAAAAACATTACGGCCTTTCTTTGCTACTGTGAACTCCCAAATGTGCAGTGTCGAAGTGAAAGACACTGGAAACACACAAAAGCCTCTTGGTCCCAGGTCCCGTTCTTTGCACAGTTTACTCCAGAGGGCAAACAGGGCTATCTGGAACAACTAAAACTCCAAATGCTCCATGCAAATTAAGCTGGTATAATAGAATTATACAGGCTAATAGAGAAAACATTTTCCTTCATATTGCCCAGCAGTGTAAGACTGCTGAAGAAGATAGGTAAAGAAATTAAAGTCTTCTACCATGGAGAAAGATGCTGCAGCCTGTTCCAGCAATCCCACCAGACCAGCTTCTGTGAAATACTTTCCAGAACAGATACCTTCTTCATCTGGTGACACAACATCATCAGAAACTGCTGACTCTTCCAAAACATTGGAAGATATGTTCTAAGGAGATATAATGTAGATAAAATATTTTTACTCAATTTAAACAACATTCAACACTTGCAATACTTTGAAAGCCAGCTGATTTTCAGTCAAATCCTAAAATTTTAAAGAGGCAGCTTTCACGTGCATTTTATTTAATTTCCTTCTGAGCGAGCACAGTACTTCAGCACATGCTTAAGCTAACTGGACTGGACGACCTATACATTCAAAGCGAAGTATGTGCTTGTTTGTTCTGCTCAGTATTGTCCTGCTTAAACAGGAACCACTTTCATCAACTGCACCCACGACACGCTGGCTAAATCAAAGAGGTTAAAACCCCATGACTTAAATGGAGAAATTAGAAGAACTAGATTCATTCAGACCACGGATGTAAAGACTTAGGGGAACCAAGACAGTCTTCAAGCATAGTAAAAATTTTCAGAAGTTGCTGTAATGCATTCTCCCCAAAACAAATTAAGTAAGTGCAGTACGAATATGTAGGCACAGTAACACCTGGCATGTGGAGAGACTGTATCTCAGCAGCAGATGACAAAACCCAAAAGTACATTACGGAGGATAATTCCCACCTGAAATGTAACACACCCTACAGGGAGGTATTTTCGGTCTTCCAGCATGCTTAGATATTCAGCCACCAAGGCTGCAGAGTGGACCAGGCACTGGGCTGATTCAGCATGATTGCTCCTCTCGGAGTGCTTTCCAGCCATGTTCTGCAGCCACGTCAAACGCAGGTCAGGGGAATTCTGATAGCCCTTTGCAATCCTAATTGAAAAGAAAACGTCTGTGATTAGTATTTAGTTACTTCTACTTAAATAATAACCACCTTCAGTGCTAGGCTATCCAGAAATGCATGAGATAAGAAGCTATATAGACGGAAAGTTACCCTATAATACTTTAGGAATTTCTGAGCCAGTTAGAGGCAGGCAAGCAACTGCAGCTACCCCCAATGGCACAATGCTTTTATGGGTGACTGCTGAAGCTCTTGACCAAAGCTCCTATTTCACTTGGAGACTGGCAGTAAGCCAAAGGTGTGGGACAATCAGAGCAGACCTGCCTGGTCACTTATGACAAAATCTCTGCCACCTTCTAAGAAGCCTTCAGGACCATTTGTGCAGACCACACCATGCAATTTGGTAGTCGGGATGTTAACACGGCTCTGGTATATCTTCTGCATATGGAGACCATCATATGTACCATCACCAAAAAGCCTTTTCTGCAAGCAGGTCCTGGAAGATCCTTACGTTTTCCCTGATGTAAGCAGGGACAGTTCTTTACTCAGGTGGAGGAGGAGATTGTTAGAGACTGCTGGGGAATGCAAACTACTTTTATCCAAGATAAGCTACATAAATGCCAAACAACCGCATTCAAACACAACAGACAGGTATATATTGGTCCATGAGCACTGAGGCCTGGAACTGCTCCAAAAACAAGCTCTATAAGGGCTCAAATATGCAACATCTGAGTCCAAAACCAAACAGCAAGAAGCTGTGCTGTTTTGAGGTGAAATGTGAATCATGGCAAGCAGTTTAAAACGGGATTAAGTTCAAAGTAAAATAACTGCTAATAAAAACAAGCACTCAAATTTCACAGCAATACGATACCTCACGCCCTAAACACAGGAAGTGCAGCAGGTACTAAGCTGTTCAAACACCGTGTGGAGCACTGACATCTACTGTCCTTACAGTGCAATGGTTATAAACTCTACCTGTACATTAGGTCAATCAACATTTCTGGATCTTCCTGGTGCTCCTTCATTTTAACCGTGTCAGAGAGGATCATATGGAGGTTGAACACCAGATCCTGGACCTGTAAAAAATATACTGCTGTAATGAACTGGGAATGGGAATCGAGCTAACCACTGATATGTTAGGACCACAGTCACTCTGAACCTTTGTGTGTTTGCACCTTGTTGTCAGAATTAGTACATAAAACCCAGGTCCTTGATTAAGGCGATTTAAAAAAAAAAAAAAGTACCTCCTTCAGGGAATGCATGCAAATTCTCCAGCTCTAGATGAAGGTTTAAGCACAGCCTGTTAATGAATTACACATTACTTCCCTTGTAGTATTTCTTTTACCTGATCAGGAAATGTTGTCTCCCTAAGTTCCAGATCTTCTTCAGCATATGTCAAAATAGTCTTCAGGGAACGTCGCAAAAATTCTTCATTGAAGTTCTGCGATGTCCCCACCAGGGATGAGAGAGACATGGTCACCTGCATCTTCACTCTGGCAAAGTTCTGCAAGAGATATTGTTACAGCATTTCAACAACCTGGAGATACTGCAACAGTCTGCTGCAACATCAGTGCTCTGGTCATTGTACCCTCCTCCTGAAAGATACCCGATACAAAAAAGAAAACTCAAGTTTTGCAGAAAGGGCTGTCTCAGAGCAGTGATTACAATAAACCTCTGGTGCTGCTGAACTTCATAACCTGATGACAGCATTATTTAGTTCCAGGTGAAGATTCTCCTGCAGAAGTTTTAGTTTTTTCCTCCTTCTGCATGCTCTTCTCTCACATACCCTGAAGAGGACGATGCTCAACTCCCTCCTGTGATACAGCTTTCATTCCAGACAGTTGCTTTTGGTTTGGTCTAGCCTAAAAACTGGAGTCACTGTTAACTCACTGCTATCAATCCACTAATAGTCCCTGGGCCCAGAACCAGTGGGTGCCTCCAGTTCTGCTACTCACTGCGGGGGGACTATAACCAAAACAGTGTAAACAAAGATGGCTGGAGGAGCACTTTGTGATACATAGCTACATGTATGCCTGCAAAATACCAGCTGGAAGAGTTAAGATGAGAATTTTCTTGACAATTTAAAGTGCACATGGGTGGGTCGAGCGAAGATGTAATTAGAGGTAAAGATCTGAATGAAAACAAAATCCCAGCATTGCTAACTCACCTCCCCTAACACAGCCCTTTCAGAAAGGGCGCACTATTAGCTGTGACACAGAAAGGGCTGTGTGGCTATTTCTGCTCTCACCTAGAGGTGTGTGAAAACAAAGCAGAGGGGAGTTCCTCCAAACAGCCTCTCAAGTGCAAACTGTCCAATCTGAAGAGTAGGCAAACCTTCCAAACTGACAGGTTTGGAAGCTGGTGGACATTCCAGGCAGGGCTCTGCATCTCTCTACAAACCGACATGAGAGGCAGCTTGCCTGCAAAGATAATCTGGGCATACAGCTCGGACTCTGACACTGGAGACTGGACACTCCTGCTATGCACTGACCAGCACTGTGAGGTACTGCAAGATCAGGAGCTTAGCAAAATCATGCCACTGCTGCGTGCCTCTCTTCCCTTTGCATGTCATGCTCATTTCGACGGTAAGCCCTCCAACAGCCTTTCTCCCACAGGAATACACAGAGCTCCATCCAGCAGTCCCCAACCAGTTTACACGTAATAACCTAATGAAGTGCAGCAGGATACTCACATTCCCAATCTCAAAGTTTTGCCTCATCAGAAGGTAAAGAGAGGCACTCGCATGCGACCGTATCGTGCTGATACTGCTGCTACAGTGTCTCAGGAGCCTCAGGCACAGATCTGCACACTGCTCAGTCTCTTCTTCAAACAGCAGCTCAGGGAACTGGGAAAACAGCACATGAGAAAATTAGTGCTTGGACAGACAGGAACGAGCACTCAGACAAAAAAACAGGGCAACCCTCAGCAATGAGCGTACACTGGCATTAGAGGAAGTCTGTTTTGTGGGGAATGATGCTAATTTGAATCACTTCACTTTTACAGTAAGGCAAAGAAGACTCACTGGCAGCACTGGAAGGCAACTCATTTTACCTACCCCCACAACTTGCCCCTACATCTACACCCTTAGATCAATTTACATCAGTTCCAAAAGCTCAGGCTTAAAACATTGAGTTTTTCCCAGTACACCTACAGAAACTGGGAAATTGTTTAAATTATGGACCCAGTAAAACAAATCAATTTTAATTGAGGTTCATACAACTTAAATTCCACCTGTGTTTTGTGCTCTGTACTTGCTAGGAGCCTCTGACCACCTGCCGCCAGCGAGCAGGAACCCACACCACATTCAGAGTCTGCGAACTGTACTGTGGCATGCAGCCGTCAAACCCAAAGTGCATAAATACAGGTACTGATCGTGAAAACCAGTCAGGTTTTATCAACCCCCAGACCACACTTCCTGCATATCAATACTGCACAAAATAGTAAATGCTTGGTGAAGTGACCCCAATGCAAAGGAAGAAAACAGTCCCACCCTCCATCAGCATTGCTCAGAATATAGTATAACATCTGCAGAGAATTCACCTTTGAAACCAAAGCCCTCTGTGTGGCGAAGCAGTGTTGGAGATAAAGTGCACTTTGGTTGCAGGCCATGCTGTGCAGAAGCACTTTCAGCACCCCACCGAGGATACTCTCTTTGGACTCCGTCACAGAAACAGTCTGCAGTCAAAAGTAAACCAAGAGTTGCATGAGCAAAAATTAACCTCCTGTGTGTGTTTTCGTGCTTGTGTGAGAGAGAGAGAAAAGAGAGAGAGAGAACAACTCTGCTTTGGCATGGAGAAATTACCCACTTAGCTGGGCCTGCAAAACAGTCACTGAATCAACCCTCAACCCCCAGGTACTGAAAACCTGACCCATGCGCTAATGCTGGTGGAACGATGACGCTTTCTACCCACTGAGGCTCTGACTTTTGGGGACCTTGTTCTACTAGAGGAAAAGTCTGTAGCTGGCTTCTAGGTGCATTATTCAAGTGTAAGATGCAACCCTTGGGATTCCTGGGTCTCTCTGTGGCTCAGAGGTGGATCTGGTAAGCCTGTTACCGCCTGCTTCCAGTCCGTGTCCAGGTTTCATTTGTACAGAAAGCAGGGGACAAAACTGCCATGTGTCCTCGCTCACCCGTGGGGAGTGAGGAAATAGCTGGGCTGTGCATACAAACCACGGAGCCTGGAAGCTTTCCTGCACCGTGTAAAGTAAGTACAGATACAGGAGGCTGACCTGGAACCTAATGACTTGAGGCAGATTTGGAAAGAACTAGAGGAATTGGTTAGAAAAGGTCAGGACTTGGAAATTTTTACAGTTCATTGCTGAGTTTTAGAACAACCACTTCTTATACTACAAAAAGGGAACAACTTTCAAAAAGACTGAAGGAAGCTACTACAGCGTAAAACCAGATTGTTACAGGCTGAGGATTAGGAGAGGCATTACCACCCTCCCCACTGCAGCTGGGGACTTGAACAGTTCTGACAGCATCCAGGCAGTTAAGAGCAGCAGGAAGGTTTTGTTTAACAAACTGCTGCCTGGCCAGGTGGTCGTAACGGTATTACATCTCTATTTTCTTATCAACCTTACCTGTACAACTATCTCTAGCGTATCCAAAATAATCAGATTGGCTTCCGTTGCGAGATTTCCATCGATAAGTGCCTCATGTTCTATCTCTGCCCTTGATCTAATCAGAGAAAAGAAAGCAATAAAAATTACTTTCTGTTTAAGAAGTAGATCTACATATTTTCCAGTCAAAAATATGTTCTCATTAGCAGGAAACTCCCAGTTACAATTTGTATAGTTATTGCCGGACAACACTACAAGGATATTTCAACGCATCCATTAAGAGGACAGGAAGAAAGACTTGGTTTTTTACATATACAAACTTACACAGGATTTACGTTCATCATGCTAGGAGAGATCACACTACTTCCTGACACTTGTTACTCTCCCAGGAACACAACAACAGTTTAGAATCAAAGTCCAACTCAAAACCGGTTTAGTAGCATCGTTAGGCATGCAACAGCACAACCAGGAACAGAACATATGGGTTTATGTTATAGGCTATGGACACAAGGTGGTGCTACACGAGCTAGTATAGCTACACCGTTGATCCCCGCAGCTAGACTGGTTGTAGCTGAGGGTGCAACCTTTGTCCCTTCAAGCGACATTACATTACAGTTCTTGAAGAATATCTGCCTCTCCAAGAAAAACGACAAAATTTTGCTGTTATATGCCAGGCACTTACTTTCCTGGAAAGTCTTACAAAGTTCAAACACCTACTCACGGCGGTGGCCCCAGGAATTCAGCAGCAACCACCCCATTTCACTGGCACGAGCTGCATTTGGCAAAGATCCAGTGGTATATTTAACGAGCCCAGCTATGGCCTGCCCTACCACAGGTGCCATCTCCAACAGACTCATGCCAAGGCAAATCACAGCAGGAGCGTGACCCATGGGAACTGACAAAATCCAAGCAAAATACACAACAAAGTGGACGGCAGCTGAGTCTGCTCTGGGACCTGTATTGCAGCAACCCTCCCCTGCCACACTGCTTCCTCGGGGAGCTGGGTCATACGCTCATTATCTACTCTTCAGGCTCCAGAATATGAAGGCTTGGGGCCTGGCCCTATATAAAAGAATACCATCTGCATAAAATAGTACCACCTGCAATTAGCTGTGCACAATTCTCCGTGTGAAAAGTCTTGCTTGTCAGGTTTCAAAGGCCAGACTCTACCTACGGACACAAGACACACTTGCAGTGCCATAGGAGTGGAGTGTGATGGACCCAGGTCACAGTGAGCAAGTGCGGGTTAAAAAGCAGGTTTGTAGAGTTATCCAAGCAGATTATTTTGTGGGGTGAGATACCATCCTTTGGCCATCAAGGCATTCCACCGCTGTTTAACATGTACATGAGGTCCTTCTGGGAAGGAGAGGGCTCAGACCCAGTGCCAGCAGTGAACTGATAAATTCTTCAGGCCAAATTTTAATCTGGTGTAACTCTGTCCAGAGCTCTGGAGTTGTACAATGGTGGAATTTAAATCTGCATTACTTCATTAGCAGGTTGAAACACACTGGTCATTTGGCTTTCCCAATGCCTCAACAGGGCTGGACTCCTGGACAAAAAGCCACTACTTGACATAACAAGAGATTACATTCTTGGATTGGACAAAGCAATTAGCAGCTGTGAAGATGTACTTTCTACTCCAGGAAGCATCAATGTCTTCAAGGGTAAAATTTGGCCTGATCTCCATCTGGCTCTGAGGACCCCACTCCTCAGTTTCGTCAGAGCTTCACCTGGGCCGAGATTGCTTTCCTAGGATTAGGAATCATTCTTTTGCTGGGAGGATGCAGACTGCAGGTTGCAATTTGAGGAAACAGAAAACGTGCACAGCGAAGCTCAAACACAACTCCTGAGCCCTCTGGATTAAACCACACCAAAAGAGGGAATTTTAAAGGAAACGGGTCTAATAAGCAAAAAGAGCTCATTCCAATCAGTTGCACACACACACTGAAAACTTCTGCCAAGCATCACAAACAATGCTGTGATGATTGAGTCTGCAGATGTACAAAATGGCCATTTATAAGAACTGCACACCAATGCTACAGTACCTGGCTGGTTTGTGGCTTCTAAAAGCACAGCACATGTGGAAAAACAATCAAAGTGATGGATTAGGACAGGAAAGGAAAGCGAGCTTTGACAACTCCAGAATGCTCTTACGGAATAAAGGAAATATGACATGAGATATATACGCTATCTGTGAAAACTGTTAATGGATCTTCTCTCTAAATTACAGCTTACTACAGGATTTTAAGAAGGTAATGGATTGTATTAGTCTCTTTAAATGTCACTTTAAAATCTAAGAAAACAAGAGACAGTGGAAAAGCAAAGAGTTAGATAGGGCAGCGTTGGACTAAAAGCTATTTGCACACTGCCAGCCCTGTTCCAGCTGAGGGCCCACACTTCCTTGGATGAGAGCTAAGTGGACTGCTGCCATTGACCTTCTATGGGGAGAGAGACCCTGTGTTCTCATAGGCACTGTCACATTGTTAATGTAGAAGGATAAGGCAGAGTTACTTGTCAAGCTTTTCTGTGTTTTGACGCCAGTGAGTCATATCCTTTCTCCATCTCAAATTCTCTTGACTTCCAAATGCGCTCCCAGAAGGACTTCTCTCTGCAGGATAATATCAAAACAATAGCAGTCATCTAATGCTAGTTTTTTTTCACGGGTAGCAACTCTAGATTTGTTCACAAGTGACAGGTGACAGCAAACTATGACTTCTTAGAGCCCAAGGCTGTGGCACTCACCCAAGATATCTACATGGCCCCTAACATTGTCACTGCTGAGTGGCACGAGAGGCAACTTCACTTTGCAGCAGTTTTGTATGCAAGAGAGCAATGAGCAACGCAGACCACTTTGTGCACTGCCACACGCCAGCTCACTATAGAGCTAACAGAGAGAGGCAGCTGAGATACTCAAATCAGGGAGGTAGCTCTCAGGGCTGGTAAGAGAAGCGCCTTCCTTGGGCTACATAAGGACCCTGGGTGTCGCAATCCTCAGCAGCCCGATATTGCTGTCCTCAACTGGCACACAGTCATGTTCTCAGGGTGGTGCCGAGACCCTCTTTCCTACCTCACCGTCTTTTATGTCTTTATTCTCGCTGCTGGGAAGACAGGGGAATTTCAAGTAACAAAGGCAATCAGGCCAGATTAAGAAAAAAAAATACGAAGGTCCCCATCTCTCTGAAGTGATTCATTACTTATGGCTCTAAAATATTTATTCAACTTAGCCTACAATTACTGGTTCGCATGTACCAGGACGCCTGTGGCAGAGCAGGAGACAAAACCACAGCTCTGATCCTTGTCTTAACCCCAGGGCCATCCTTCCTCCCAAACAATGTAAACAGCAAAAATAATCAGAAGGTGCTTGTTACCCCAACTACTGGCTATTTCAATCCTCATTAAGTTAGCAGAAATATCCAGGCATTTTCAGAGCTATCAAAGCAACATCAGGCGGTTTGTTTTCCACTCTGATCCTTGAACAGGATGTACTAGAAGGTGGCTCTGAAAGATGCCACACTGGAAGAAGTTCAGGCAAGAACACCCCATAAATGAGACGTGATCACATGTACATAAAAGTAATCAAGTAACAAACAAGCTGCCTGTAGATGGAACTTGGGGAAAGCGTAGAGATTTTGCAGACCCAGTGAAGCATGCTGCAAACTGCAAACAGCTTTTTCTGGGGGCCTCTTTGTCTGACGATCTTGATGGGTAGTATCCCACACCACAGACGGGTGCAAATTAATTGTTGGGGATGGGAGTAGCAGTTTTTGGAAAAAGGGGACAGCACAGAAGACTTCTTTACTTACCTAGCTGTCCTCTGCTTCTTCGGACCATTTCCTGCCTTGCCCCTATGCTTCCCAAAATAGCTTCTTCAAGTTTGGCTCTCATGTCTTTCGACTTCTTGAACGTCAGACTGTTCATTCTTTCAAATACCTTCTTGCCCTGCAAGTTTCAAATGAGACCATGAGGGAAGATTCTTTCAATCTGGGATATTTTCTAAGCATTAACAACTCAAAATATCTTTCCTGTCTAAAGACATACAGCAAGAAAGGAATACAGGTTTAGTTGCTAGCTGGATAATCTACCCAGACTCCAGCATTGCTACAGAAACCTCTCTTCTTGTTGATAGTAAGCAAAATGACCAAGAGCTATCCCCTTTCACTGCAGCAGTTCCCAGATGAGTGGCAAGCAGCACAAACTGCTTAAGAAGAACAAGGCACAGACACTTGCATGGCTGAAAAGTAAACATGGAAAAAGGCTAGAGATTGTACAGAGACATGCTTAGCCTTGGGATTTTGAATACAGGAAATACTTAGGAGAGAGCAGGAAATGCCTTTACGCTCCCATCCTTGACACGACTGCAGAAAGTTCCTCAGCAAGCCCTAGAAGGAACTTCAGGAGGTTTAAACGACATAGCAGTACCTTGTATTCAAAGCAGGATACACAAAGATAAAGCAAATCCAGCAGGCGATTGAGCTGCAACACTGACAGGTCTGTGAACCATTTCTGCAAGACACTTTCATCCGCGTTCTTGAGCACCCACAAGAGACAGATCAGAAGGCTGCGGCTGGACTCTGTTGAGAAGGTGGAGTGCTGCCTGCCACTCTAAAACAGACAGGTCAGTACATTTGCCACACTGTATTTCATGTCCAAACACTTCAATCACCACTAAAAGGATCTGCACCAGCTACCACCCCAGCCTAAATGATTACCGAACAGAAGGTGAATAGACATTTTTTACTAACAACCAGGAGACACATATTTCTCTTTCTCAACCCAACAGCTCAGTGGAGCCCACAGACAGTCAGGTCACAAGAGTGAAGCAGCAGTTTGAACCAAAATAATCACATTACATGAATGAGTTTCTGTTCAGGCAGCAAACACCCACTTCCCTCAAGATGCCTTTAATAACCTCCAGCAGGTTAACAGCTAAGCAGAGGGGGTCCATTCGTTATCTCATGTATGTACCAGTGTCTCACTTTGAGTGCATGTAAAACCCAGCAAAATGGGGTCTTGATGAAGGAGTAAGGGGAGGAGGAGGGAGAAATGGAAGGGCCTGCCTGCTACTGGAATCAGGAGGATTCCCTCCCTGTGCAGAGAACAGGGGAAATGGCCCATTTATGTCTTCAGCTAGGTGGGATCTAGATGTGGTAGGAATTTTTGCTTAGGGCTTACAGCTCATAATGACCATTGCACTTCAAAGAGCTTTTATCAGATTGTTTCAGAAAAAGGGAATCTTTATCAGAAAAGAGAATTCTTCCATTTTCTGAGGTTTGTTGATTTTTATCCCTCCTTGGCATTTTCTTATACCCTCTCCAAGACATGCACAACAACATGCAAGCGTGATTTATTCCCCTCGTCTTTCACCCTCTGCCTCCCTGTGTAACACCCAGCTGCAAACCGATGTGAGTCCCTATCACTCACTGATCAGCCCCACAAGACCTGCATGCGTAAATATTTGCTTATTGACACAGACTAAGAGTCAAGGAATAGGGAGAGATGGCTTTGTACCGATGAGGTGAGTAGAAAACTGCTGGGCCGGGTGAGCTGAGGGACCGATGTTCCTGCGATGGCCATGGCAACTGTCTGGCTTATCATGCTTCCACCCTCGCTTTCGTAATCATCAACAGCAACGCAGCTTGGTCTCCCTCGCTGATTGTGACTCTCTGCCGAGAAACACGTGCATCTAGTCAATCCCCAAATTCAAAGTTTCTCTCCCCAGCCTCCCTCCGCAGTGCTAGTTTCATTGAACTGTCTAGGAATGCAAAAATGAAAATCATCACACTCATGGGGTCCTGCAAGTAAACAGGAATATTATTTGAGGTCATACAAAGCAAAGAAAACAACAATTTTCAGATGCAACCTACACAACCTCAGTATCTAGAACCCTTCTGAAAATAGACCTTTTGTCCCTTTGAATACTTCACTCCAAATCCTTACTTGCAGCTTTATTGTGTCATTAAACTCAAAGGATGTAGAAGACAACTCCAAATTCCAAACTATTCCAGATTGGACTCCCTGCCCTGATTTGAAATAACCCACCTCTGCTGCTCTTCAGAACGCTTTGCAAAGCACCCCTGAAACGAGCTGCTGACAGAGCACATACTAAGAAGAAGAAGAAGAAGAAGAAGAGGAAATCTGCTTATCCTTTGGAATTGTTATGGGAATTGTACGGTATGTGGGGTGACTTTTTAAAGCAGGTCAGAAACATAGAAGGAGGCTGGCTATGCAAATACAGTAGCCAGCCAGATGTAAACTAAAATGCATTGCTAGTTTTTCGCTTCATGCAAACAAGTGGGCAAATGCAGCTTTTGAGCATTAACAGTCATTGAAGATACATTTTGCAAGTGCAGTTTAGGAAATGGATGTGAAAACATTTCAAAGCTATAATTCAGAAATAGAAACAAACACATCCAACAATAAAGGGTTTTGTAGTTCAATTTTAGAACCCAAACACTCAAGTCTTCTGAGCAGATGAACGTATATTCAAAGCACAGAATAAAAAATACCTGTGAAGTCATAAAGCTGAGGCACGGTCTCCATGATCACACCAATCAGAGGTAGATACAGCATTGCCACCCGGGCCTTTACCTGTGGGTCAGCGTACCGCGGATCCGAGTCGTGACTGGACAGTAAATTGTGTACCATATTGATGACCTTCTTATGCAATCCAAATAAACTGTTAAAAGACAGTTGGGTCATGCAGATTAGTTAATATCTCCAAAGCAAACTACACTTTGTAACTAAGGGGCTTCAAAAAAAGAAAAAATCCTGGTTTTTATTTTTAACTTCACATAAACCGCCATTACACATGTTTTTTGATCTCCCATGTATTTTACAAATGGCTGGCTTTTCACTATGCCACATAAAATGTACAAAAATATCTTGTGGAGGTGCACACCCAATATAATGTGAACACTCCCACATTTTCCATACAAAAACAAAGCCCCAGCTACTGCTATGCTGAAGTATCGAGTCTACTAAAGACCACTAGGAGAACTTAGGGAATATGGAAAACAGGGAGAGAAACTTGAGAGGACAGTGGGTTTAGCGAAACTATTCATTGTGGGTTTTTTTGTTTTTATTTAACACCATTTACAGAAAGAAAAGCCCTCCTAAGACAGAAGATTGCTTGTATCAAATGATCAGGAAGTTTCTGCTTCAGTTCCCTGACCCCCCACGCAATTATTCAACTAAAACAGTAGATTACAGATCCATAATTCTGAATAAAAAGTGTCCAAAAAATGGAGGGGTAGAAGGAAAAAGAGCAAAAAATGGCCTTCCTCATTATTAAGATGCAAACGATGGCAAGGCCCAAGCACCATCCCCTTTTGCAGGGCACCCTGCGTGAGCCTACTTGGTGCTCATGCCTTAAAAACACAAATTCCCCTGAATCTCTCAAGAACTCGCTCTGCTCCTTTCAATTCCCTCAGCCACCACACAGAGGCAAAACTCTCTCAGAGCAAATAGCAGGTATCTCTGTAGCTATTTGCTTCTGTAGGCAAACCAGGCCAAGAAGACAACTTTACCCCATGCATGAAGCAGCCAAGGAAGCTCATACATTATGCATTAGCAAAACATAAGCTTCAGTGTTCAGACCTGAGGTATTAAAACAAGTGCGGAATTTCAGGCAGTATCCACTTTACCTGAAAAGTAGAGTTGAGTTCTGGTTAAAAGAGACGAGAGGCTTTGAGTGGATTGTTGGGGGTTTAAAATGATTAAAAAGACACCAGTACAGGTTAGGAGGACATTAGCTAGTTGTAGCTACACGTCTTTCCTGCGTTTTTTAATCAAGCCATAATGAGATCCTACAATTGCTTGTTTGTGTAATTAGTGAGACCCTTAACAACTAGGAAGGAAAGGCTTCTTTAAGTGACTGGTTCCTTCATATTAAGGTTAAAGAAAAGTCTTCGTGTTATTTTGAAGAAGCGGCACGTAAGTTGTGTTTCTAACAGTTCAAGGGAAACTATCCTGCAGGCCATAGAACTGCATGTAGGGAATACACATCCAAATAAAGCAGCGTAATTCAAACCTAGGGCTACATGGATTTCTTTTTCACTTTTCCAGAACAGAGCAGGTACAGTGGTGGATTGATCCATAGGGAAGAGGAGGAAATATGGTCCCCTAATCTTTCTGGCTGATAATGCAATGAACTGATCTTGCCGCCCTCCAACCATCCCCTCTGTTATCTCAGCCCTGGCCTGAATTCCTGTCAACACCGCACACTTTTGGGAAACTAACTTTTGTCACTGAATACTGAGGGCCAAATTCCGATTTTCTCACTTCTGTCCTGTAACATCAGTCAATGTGGGCAACACGGGCACTATGAAAAAAGCAATATGAGTTAACTGTACTGTTACTGTACAGGACCTAGCCCAGAGAGATCTCTAACGCACCAGTGTATCGCAGTCATTTCTGTCCAACTCAATCCAAAGAGTTCTTATAAATGGGTGAGCTAAAATTTAACATATTTTGCTAATGGAACAAAAAGAGCAAGGACAGAACACACGTAAGGCTCTGTATCACCTGTCAAGACCTAAGGCAAAGTTCTAACACAATAAGCAACTAAACGGACATACCTCTCCACTCCTGCTGCAGGACAGGATAATGCAACTGGGAACAATTCTGAGCTTTTTTAAAATGGCAGCCCAAATATTTTAATGGCAGGCATGTCCGAATGCTCTACTAATAACCTGCTGATGATACCATATGACCGTTAAAAGTCTTCACAGACAAGGGAAGAGCAGATCTGAACAGACTGGTTTACTTTAGATGGTGGATCTACCAGGGCAAATGCAGGTTGAAGCCTGAGAACAGCTAATAAGCTGCAAACTGCAAGTCATTCAGGAAAACAATAAAAAACAAATGTATTACTGGTTGTCCTGGTTTCAGCTGGGATAGAGTTAATTGTCTTCCTAGTAGCTGGTATTGTGCTATGTTTTTGAGTTTGGTATGAGAAGAATGTTGATAACACACTGATGTTTGTCCTGGTTTCAGCTGGGATAGAGTTAATTGTCTTCCTAGTAGCTGGTATTGTGCTATGTTTTTGAGTTTGGTATGAGAAGAATGTTGATAACACACTGATGTTTTCAGTTGTTGCTAATGTTTAGACTAAATCAAGGATTTTTCAGCTTCTCACGCCCAGCCAGCAAGAAGGCTGGAGAGGCACAAGTTGGGAGGGAACACAGCCAGGGCAGCTGACCCAAACTGGCCAAAGCGGTATTCCATACCATGTGATGTCATGCCCAGTATATAAACTGGGGGGAGTGGGGTTGGGGAGAATCACCGCTCAGGGACTAACTGGGCATCAGCCAGCGGGCCATGAGCAATTGCATTGTGCATCACTTGTATATTCCAATCCGTTTATTATTACTGTTGTCATTTTATTAGTGTTATCATTATCATTCTTAGCTGCTGCTTTTCTGTTCTATTAAACTATTCTTATCTCAACCCACGAGTTTTACTTTTTTTCTGATTCTCTCCCCCATCCCAGTGGGGCGGGGGGGGGAGAAGTGAGTGAGCAGCTGTGTGACACTTAGTTGCTGGCTGGGGTTAAACCATGACACTAGTATACATCTCCACCAAAATTCAGGAGCTTTGATCAAAATGCATCTCTGGAGCTGAACTGGTATCAGGGGGCTTTTTCTGCCTAGACAAGGTTTGAGAGAGGAGCTGTCTCCCCAGTGGACACCAGCAAGATCATGCTGATAGCTCCTTTGTGCAGCTGGGCAGAGATTACTGTCCTGGTCCAAGCTTAAGTGCTGAGAACAGCAAGGTGAGAGAGCTCAAGAGGCAGGCAGGTGAGAACAGAAAGTTTGTGAAGAACGGGGGCAAATATGGTCAGAGACAGGACCTGATTTCTAACCAGTGAGCAGGATGCTCCTATGCTACAAAAAGGATTTCTGCAGACAGTGTACGTGGGTAAGGATTTGCTGCTTTTTCCATTTCAGGCCAAACAAATGGGACTGCAGTGTGTTATGTACATATACAAGGAAATATTCTAATTTATGGCATCACTTTCTTCTCCAACAGGAAACAGAATGAATGTTTAACTCCTGAGACTGCTTGGTAAAGGGGCAGAATTAACCATGAATCATCAGCATTTGTCGACTCGGCTGATATTCCTGAGTCCACCTTGAGAAAAATGCCTGCGAGAGAACTTAGGACTGTGGAAGCAATCAATAATTTCCATTGAAACCCATTTTAAAGAGGCAACGCAGAATACAGCCCTAAATAACACAAGTAACAGACTGGATGTCAGGACTACACGCTACACTCCTAGTCCAGAAAATTATTTGCTGCACAAGTCAGGCAAGTCACTGACAAACTCTGCATGCTTGACTCTAGCTGTCTATTTATGTAACCCGCAGGGGCCTCATCAATGCATAATTTACCTTTAAAAAGAGCCGGGAGGACCACAGGCAAAATACATTGTAACATTTAAAACCACCAGCAACAGAGACTTCCTAAATGTTGAAAATTATTTTCTTGTTACAATTGAGAAAAGCTATTTTCCTCTTAGAGCTCCAGCAGTGCCCCTGTGGCAGCTGGGGGCTCCAGCAGGAACCTTTTTCCCTTCTTCTCAGCTCGAAAAATGTGATTGAAATCATGCTTACAGAGTCAGGCCTAAGGAAGTAAGAAATATGACAGGTAGGGAGAAAGAAGAGGATTCTTAAAGAACTGGTTTCTTATATTCTCAGCTCACAAATTTACATCAATTCTGGCCATGACAGAACTTGCTTTGTATCCACCGTTTGCTTGGAATTACAGAAAACTCTGGGGGAAAAAAATTGTAAAGATTTACCCTTCTGCATCAGGATCTAAAATGACAGCCAGTTCTGTTAACACAAGCCCGGCCAAGTAATGCTGTTGGCGGAAAGGCACAGACAATTCAAACATATTTGCAATCTTCTGGTCTTGGACATTTGTGGAGAACCCAGAACTCTGAAAAAAATCAAGTTTCAGAAGTTGCATCATGAGGCCCCTTGGAACAGAGTCAAAGGTTATGAAATACACTAGAAACAGTTTTCAGAATGAAAGACAATCTCACATAAACTACCTTTTTGCTTTTTTGTTTGGATCTAGGCACATCTACTTACGTTACATTCAAGCTCACTAACTCTTCCATTAATTCTGTTTGTTGTTATTGCCTTCCCACCCACAGGGCAGGCCCTAGGGAAGTTAAGCCAAATAACCTTTAAAAGTGGGTTAATTGAACTTTTAACTCAGGTATGGATGCTCTTATTCAGGCTAAAGAGGGCTTTAATTTGATTTAGTTTACATAATTTTGCAACTAATTAATCCACTTGAATAACACGCTTGCTAATTCAAATTACTTTTTCTGAGCAGGCTAGGACTAAGCTACAGTGTGCTAGAAAGACCCTTGTTTTCTAAGAAAAGGGTAACGCTGGACAGAGCATTTTCTTTAATGGCTCATTTATGGTCACATGTTTGTCCAATATAGGAGGGGACTAGGTCCCTAAGGACAGTGTGTGGTCACTATGAGGATAGGGATATGGGCATTCTTTTTTCAACAATAAAAGATCAAAAGAAGTCAAAACCTATGTGGCAGGAAAAAACAATTTCTAAATAAACACTTTCAAAAAACATTAGCAAGCAGAGACTGAAAATATGGGCGGTTCAACTGCCTCATATGATTTAAGTCTCAGAACAAAGCTCAGCTTGCATTTCCTCAAAGGATCTTTGTCACACTGTACCTGAGAAGTTGCTGAAGACACAGAGGGTGATGGAGATGCAGGTGGTGTGAGCAAGCTGCAGGGTAAATTCAAGGTGACATAGTGTTCATGGCTGCAGATGATGCGAAGGAAGTCCAGCCTCAAAGATGCCAGGTTACTTGGATTTGTTAAGGAATACAGCTTTGAAGACACCTGGCAAGTTTAGCCCATAAAATTGCAGTTAGCACCAAAAGAGAGTATAAATGTAGCACGAGCCCCCCGTCCCACCACTGGTCCCAAAAAACACTTCCGAAGCAAGAACTGAAGAGCTTGAATCATTAAATGGTCGCACCCACATCACTTCTTTGTGCTACAGATTAAACTTCTGATGTGCAGGAGCCATACACATCCCAGCCAACAGGAAATGTATCAATACAAAATGTACAGAACAGCCATATTTATATAACAAATAAAGAACTATGTACTTCACACATGATACCCACATCCTTTTGATTTCGGTAGGGAGTTATGAGAAGTGGGACCACACAAGTGTGATGCATTAACAGGTCAAAGATGCAGGTTGGCTAATACACAGCAGGCAACAAAGCTCAACTGCTATTGCTGTTCTTGCCCCTTACATAAAATGTTTTAGACTGCAGCAAAAATGAGTCTAAGCCTAAGCTCCTGATACCTTGTCATCTCCTTTGTACAGAGTGTCAGCACGGATGTTTGTAGTCAAATGAAACTTTGTGGTTTGAGGTGATTTCCCTGCCACAACATTGCGAGTAAGCTTCCCAATGCATAACACAGGAACCCTCCTTATGGGGGAGGAGACCCTGCATTCTCAGAAGGATGGAAGGGGAGTTTGGTGATCAATACGATCATGCAGGGTCAATGTGTCCTTGAGAGACCTGCTGACAAACTGTAATAGTCTGAGCTCCCTCACAAAACCTCCTACTAATTTTTTATTCGATTACTCTGAACGTGGTGAGCAGAGGGAATAATTCTTCCTTCCTGCTGCATGTCCATTCACTCAAGGGAGTTACTGCTAATTCGCATATAAGACTGTAATCAGAGAGGCGTAAACTCTAAATCACCACTGAGAATGCCTAGCTGCTCTAAAAAGACCTGAATAGCAGAATTCTGTGTCCATACTTTACTGTCTCTCCAAAGAAAGTTAAAGTAACAGGCTATGCTACGGTTCACAGTTAAGTCATAATATTTATCTGCATTCACCTGTTTGTAGCAGGTCTTAATAAGAGCAAAAACAAATCCTCTGTCCATGATAGACAACAGGTCATTGAGGAAAAATGCAAGACTGGTGTTGAGCCTTTCGACCATTTCTGTATCCTAGAGAGAAGGAAGAGAAAAACAGGAGAGAAAAATGAAGAAGAGCACACTGTAAGTTTTCAAACAATTCCTGATCTAGGCACCAGCAAACAACATGCAGGAGGTCTGGTGCCTGAGCTCTGACCGGGTTCAGTTTAATTGTTCGCCATTACCTTCTGAAACCGAGAGACTATATCACCGGCAATTGTGCTGACCAAAGCAGTTACATCATCCATGAAACGCTCAGGAAAACGATTCTTTCTTGGCGCATCCAGTTTGTCAGCAAAATACAAATGATGCACCATGCTCTTCACCTATAGGAATATAAATTACAACAAAGTCACTTGCAGTTGTTGCCGTTTGTGTTTTAAACTACGAACCGTAAGACAATAAGCAAGGTGTTTCCAGTTTGCTCACCATCAGCTCGAAGAAGAACCAGGCCTGCTGTAGGGCTGCCTCCCGCACGCTCCCGCTGCACACAACCCACTGTAAGGCCAGCTCTTCGTGAAAAAGCTACACAGATTCAAATCCAGAGTTAGCCCGAGCCTCAAGATCAGCTCACAAAACATTCCACATGAGAAATGGTAGCACGGGCCATGGAAAGTATGGCAAACAATGAGGTTAAGCAAAATAAATAACTGAGAACATGACAGCAGTGGTGGCATCCCTTAAAGAAATCCCCAACTAACAATGAAGGATGATATTATGATATGTGATGTGAGAAACATTTCACAGCATCTTGCTCCAAAATTGAATTTCAAGTGTCAAAAGAATTTTCCACCCCCACCCCACCCCCCCAAAAAAAAAGTTTGGTGCTCAAATTAGTTTAGTTTAAAAGTCTACCTTTCTGCCTGGTCTGATTTTTGCAGGAAAAAGGAGTAAAAAGTGGACATATAAAGCGATTTGTACAAAGATGTATATTTACTGTGATAAAGGACTTAAAACAGTAAGAAAGAAACATGGGGCTAAGAAACAGCTTTTTGATTTCTTTTCTTGAGAGGACCAACCCACAGACTGGACGTTGTCAGTGTTCACATCTTCATTACACAAAAAGTCAGGCATTTTGTCTTTCTGACATTGTTTAGTAGGATCTCGTCTCCTCTAAAGGAGTGCACTTTCAAAGTAACTCCCATTCACTTTCTGGAGTCACTTTGGATTAACACCTATATAACTAACTGAGTTCAGCACACATCTGTAATGCTAGCCATCTAACACATTATAATTTTGCACATAAGAATGTACCATTTATGTGCCTAGACAGTGCTATCCATATTTTTTGAAAGCCAGTTTCCAAACACTATGGACATTAAATCAGACAAGCTACTCCTGATCATTTTATTCTTCCCAATTCAACTCTGTCGGAATACTTCATATTCACTACAGCCTGGATATTCAGAGGTGCAACAGCAGTTCCTAATGACCTCGGAAAAAATCAGGCTATAAATAAAAGAATAGTTTGCATCATGTTTTCAGAATGACTTGACCTCCCTGCCCCAGAATATCAATTGTCTTCACTGAAATCTACCTTTTTAGTTGGTAATCGTCCTGTTAATGTTTGTAAGAAACTTGACGTCTCAGTGTGCGAAGACATACGATTACAACTTCGATCCGTAGCCTACGGAGTGGAGATGAATGAATGATGACAGGACATTAAAGTTTGCTGTGGATGGGTTTTGCAGCTCAAGGACAATGTACGTTTACAAAAATACTGTTCCAACTGTAGTCTTTTACTGTCTTTACACCTTTTTATGCATTCTCAAACTCTTACTCATTTACAGTTTTGGTTTAAACAAAATGACAGTACTTTTTATTGTTTTAAGACATACAGGCTATTTAAATAACTGCATGTTCTTATGCACAAAGACACTTAATGCTGCAAAGCATGAAACTTTTTCATCATTGTATTTTATCAACATGCATACATCAAGGAGGTAATACTTGTAATTTCAGTCCATACCTCTCAATCTACCAGACACCAAGCATGTGGGGATGTAACCCACAGCGATGCTGCTACTGGCACAGGGAATGAGAAAATTACTAAAGTTCTGTTTTTGATAGAAATAATTTGCCATGAGTGCATGTGAACTCAAGACTAAATATTTCTGGAAGACTGATAAACTTGAAAGGAGGTACAGTTGAGAGGTACGTTCAAGGCAACCATGCAGTGGAAAGCAGCAGGCAATAGGGGCTAAATAACTCTGACTGAAGCTGCTATAAAGTTTTCATACTTTGCAACACAGAACAGATATAATTTGCCCTAGCAAGTCACTGGCTCCAGCACTCAAATTTACATGTTTTAAGAGAATTTTACATGTGGTAATCAATTTTGGTTCAACAATATTCCACTCAAACAGTCATGAAGGATTACTTGATGATGAATATTAAATGCTTGATGAAAATGGCAAAATGGTTCACAACATCAAAAGAAATGGCAAACATGGACAAAACTATGAAGCTGTGATTAATGTTCCCACTTAGAAATGTGCTCCACCTGAAGCTGAAACTAGTGTTAGAGAGAGAGAGAAAAGAAAAGAAAAGCAGTCACAGCATTTACATTTCACAGACCAGCAACCACTGAAATGAAAGAAGGGGACACGTTCACACATTTTGAGGTTTTTCATGCAGTGTGGTGAGGTGGTGGGGGAGAAGATGCTAATTTATAAAATAAAACTCACAAAGTTTTCAAGGAATAAATAAATAATAAAAAAAAAACAAACCACCAAAATTGGAGTATACACTGAAAGGAAGATATTCTACAGGGAAACATCAGGGAAAACAAAGCCAGAAAAACCTCTACCGAAGACACCACCTGTGTTGACTCAGCACTTGGGCTGGGGTTGGATCCCCATGGGGCTGCTTTTGGACCACCAGTGTTTACCCAGGAATTGGAGCGGTCTAAACCCTGGGCATGTAATAGAAAGCAGTTGGGAAAGGAAAGAAATATTACATGTTGCATGCCATACAGTAGTCAAAGTTTAGTCCTGAAAAGCAATCAAACCGGGTACACTGCAAACACATCATCAGTTAGCACTGTTAAAGCAGCCTGAATTCTCAGGTGTCTGTTGAGACATTTTAGTCCAGAGGATTATTTTATATCACGCACATACACCACATTAATACTGTCGACAGCTCTGGTCCAACCTGTCCTATCTGTAATGCTTGACATTCAAAACCTATCCTCTTCCTGAAAAATCCCACTCCTTTGATCAGTTTAAACCCATCCACTTCAGTAGATGGAGCCAGCATAGATTTACAGTGTGACAGAGGAAAATTGGCGCACAGATGTGTAAACCACAAAGGATGCTCTCTGAGGTTTCCAGCACTTTTTGGGTAGACTGCTTGTTAGCCCACAGTTTATAAGCTCTACACCTCTTATAGAAATGCTGAGAAACCTTGAAGAGACTGACTGTCAGCTCTCACAGGGTTTCCTACTCATGGAATGAAAGTTCAGCACTGCTGGCAGAGTAACCCTGTGAACAGGATTTCATATGGACACTCGGGTATTTTCTCTGGGCAGCGCGGCTAAGAGAAGAAAGAGCACATACCTTTTCTGGACCAACCTGCTCTGCCAAGCAAAATATTTGAAAAATCATCCTGCTTTTTAAAAGCTCAATCTAGTTTGCACTCCAAATTCTACTCCTGCAACGGATCATATGGGCAAAATTTCTGTGAATTCCTCCTCCTTTCTCTCTCTCTCTCTCTCTCTCTCCCCCCCCCGCCTTCTCCTCTCAAGACACTCAGAAAGAAGAAAAGGAAAAATTTAAACTTGTGTTTGTCACCCAGGCTGCTCCCAAGTCAGGAACATTCAGTGGGATGCCATGGACTTTCCTGGATCCCAGGAACCAGCTCTAATGGAGGCAGTTTTGCAAAGCCACAACTGAATAGCAGTTCCTTATAAATTCAACACATTGGTTTCAACCCTCATCTGAGCAAGAGCTTTCTTCCTGGTTTTCATGCCAACCTAGGGCTTTTTCCCAAGACATGAAGCAAAGGTGCAGCCCACTTCATCACAGCAATTATCATCAGCTGCAAAGTCCACCAAGCCTAACAATCTATTTCTCTCAGCAAAGAAAAATCCACCTCCAGGTTGAACCCAGCATCAGAGCTGTAGCCTGGGATTCAAACCATTAATCCACTGAGCTATCCTCTATGCAGAGTACAGCAATGCTGTAATTTTGCTTAAGATGTCCAATAAAAAAAAAATACTGAACACATAAGGAGAGTGTTTTAATCTCAATTACTTTTTAGAAGAAATGAATCAAAGCTCTCTGCCATGCTCCGACCCATAAACACGCTTTATTTTGCTCACAGTGAATTAAAGTCAAAAGGACTTTGCGGAATGCTGAACTAAGCTCATGTTTTGTAAAATCTGGTCTAATTTTGAAAATGCCTTTATCACACTTACATTTCTGCTCACAGGCTTTCTAATCATGCCACTCTGGTTCTGAGGATAAAGTTAAACATATACTGAGTTTGTAGAAGCAGAAGTCATTCTGTAAAAATCTGACAAGGGAAAGATTCTTCCCTCTTTGGAAAATAAAAGAGTACAAGAGCTTCTTATTGCTTGGCAAAGTCACTCAAAAGTTCACAAAACTGCTACTAAATTCTGTTCTATCTCTGCGGTTCAACCTGCAGCTGGATCTGTGCAGGACCATAACACACATTTGTGAAAATCCACTGTTGGAGCAATGAAACTCCACAATCTTTTCTGTTTTTTTCCCCAGCACACCTCCAACATTTCAGGAACACTTAAAGCATAAAAATCTCACCATAGGTCTTTTTAGACGCTTAATAAATTTGCTTTAGTAGGGAATAAAATTTACATGGCCTCAAATCACAAATGAAGGCATAGTAAGTGACAGAGCTAAAACCTCCTCTCTTTTGAAAATAAACAGAAATCTTCCAAATCCTGTAAAGGGGATGACTATTTGAATTTTCAAAATTAAGTAAGAAGCTGATAAAGGGGAGACTTAAAGTATATTTACCAAACCTATAAATATCATAGAATCCTAGGATGGTTTGGGTTGGAAGGGACCTTAAAGATCATTTGGTTCCAACCCCCCTGCCATGGGCAGGGACACCTTCCACTAGACCAGGTTGCTCAAAGCCCCATCCAACCTGGCCTTGTAATGTCTTGCATTACAATAAAAAAACAATATAGGACTGGACTAAGAAGACTTCCATCAAACAACAAAATGCTATTTGTTTTTTTTTAAAGCAGAAAGCCTCCCACAACAGATTCTAATTTGAAATGCAGGTTCCCTATTTAGGCATATGCGCTTAAGCCATTACTTGGAAAAACAGAATAGGAATTTTTGCACCCTTCTACTTATTTCAACATCTCAATAAGTAACTTATTTTTGTCTATTGATATTAATATGCAGAAATAATTATATTCAGCCAAAAGTCTGTATAGTCAAACTGAGCTTAATTTCCAATGCTCAGACTACCCTAAAAGAAAACTTTTCCCTCAACAATTATTCACAGAACAGGTTTTTCTTTAAAGCCTGGAGTACATCTCTAGAAGAAAGCCTCTCTTCATTTTGTATCATGACATTATTCACTAAGCCAGCACGTGTTAAACTTCTGATAGCCTGTGTAAATTCCGTATGCCCATTAGTGCCTATGGCATTTCACAAAAGGTCAGGGTTGTTTAATTAGCAAGATACTGAAGTGGTCTTTAAAATATTTTAAGACTTCTAAGTGCAAACTTTGATGTGAGAAATAATGATTTGCCTACCCACACTTCTTCAGCCTCTTATTTGGTCAGCAAATTATGTTGTTGTTCATTTAAAATTGGTAATCTCTTTCTGAAACTATGTTTTTCTTGCTCTTATAAAACCCAGGACCAACCAGTGTCAAGCCTGCCTGGTCAGGCTGGTGGCTTTAACAAACTTGCTCACTGATCTTCCAAAGGATCGAACATAACAGCTCTCTGAAAAGGCTCAGGAATTCATCTGTGCTGGAAGACTGAAGGGTCACAGGCAGGGAAGCATCTCATCTTGGTGTAAGTGATCACAGTTTGAAGATTAAAAAAAGAGAACCCCAACCAAGCTAAGGTGCCCCTCTCAGGGAAGGGAATTACCAACACAGCAGATTTGCCCTGGCTCATCCCACCTATTTCAGGCACAAAACTGAAGTGCTCAAATTGGGACTGTAGCAGTCCAATGTGCCTGCAATTCACCAGAGAGGTACAGGCCCTTCTGCAGGAGATGCGTGTACCGAGCCCTTAAGGACCAAAGTACGACCATGCAAGATGCTCTGCACTAACGTGCCCGCACCAGAAAGTCACTTTTCGGTGCGAGGAGTCAGTGTGGGTGCAGAGTTAGCACACCACAAATTCACACTGCAGCTCAGCTGGCCTGACTATGGCTCACTCACTAACTAACCATCTGAAATCCTCTCTGGCCCCTGCAGGGACTAGGAATATTCCTGCTGTGTGCAACGTACCTTCTCTGGACATAAGTAGTAGAGAAAGCATCTGAACAGCCATTAGCGCTGAATGCAGAGGAGAAGAGAGAGTTTTGGTTTGAGAGGTAAGAGTTGGATCACAGGGTGGCAAGTTAGGGGATGCAAGGTTTGGGGAGACATAACAGAGCTGGTCAGAGGATATGGCTGCTGGCCATGTGAAAAGTGAGGTAGTAAAATCATTCTTGTCCTACTAGTCTTCGGGAGACAAGTCCAGAAGGACTCTCGCACCTAGCCACCACACTTGTGGAAGTAAAACTGCCAGGATGGTCTCCAAGAAGTCAGAGAGAACAGCAACTGTTTTCAAGGAGTGGAGTTTCAGTAGTGTTATCAGCAATTGCCAGAAGTCTGAGAAGGGGCCATTAGTAAGGACATCTTTTCATAGGAAAAAAAAAAAAAAAATCACAAAAACTTCCCTGTTATTTCTTTAAAGATTAAATAAAAGATGCTGAAGTTCCTGTAAGACCCTCAGCAGTGCATGTGTACCTTACTGCCAATGATCGAGCGAACTTCATCGTCCGGCGAGGTGGGGGTCCCAGATATATCTGGGTTGCTGTTACTGAGGCTCCGTGAGCGGTTCAAGTTAAGGCTTGCTGGTCGGACAGCAGACCGAGCCATGGTGGCATAATGCACCGATCCCCCTAAGCCACCAGGACCTACGGTGGTGTACAAAAGAACATCCAGTTAGACCATCAGTCAGAGCTTTGTTGCCATGCAGCTTTACACCAGTCTGATGCAGCAAACCCTTTGGATAACCAGTAGGTCTGGCCCATAAGGAAATCTTCTCTGTGCCTTCCCCTGCCTGGTTCTCCAAGGCAAGCAGCAGGGAGAAAGGGATGGGATTAAAAAGCTATTTTATCCACTGATTTGTGGGAAGCAGGAAGCTCCCTGTGGATGTAGGCAGCCAGCGTGAGGTATGTCTTTAGCTAGAGGGATATTTGCCAGACTTCAGAATCAAAAACCACCAAAGAACTGGGCACAAATTTAAGTACACAACCTTCCCAACACCTCTCCAAGGTTTTCCGCTCCATGCAAGAAGCAAGTGCTGTGCACAACAGTCCTTCCAAAGCCTAGTTTTCTGTGGCTGTCATTCACACCATCTCTTCCCCCATGCAGATACATCCCTTGTTGTCAGCAGGGGTGGAATTAATTTGTTTCCCTCCTGTACCCAGACACGTGTTTTCAAGAATTTCACACTCCTTTGCCAGCGTATCAAGTTTTTCTGGAACTGGATGAAAGTCTGAAAGTACTAGTGAAGGAGACTGGGAAGCAGGACAGGCCAAGAGCATACCACATCTGTCTACTTGCCACAGAAAACAAAACCAAAAAAACCCCAAAACCCCAAACTAGTATTTTGCCATATTTAAGCCTCATGGTCTTTCAGCAGTGACACTTATTTAAGATCATCAGATAGTTAAAACTCTGACACGGCTAACTGTAATTAAACTAATCTTGTACACGGGTACATTGGATCATAAGAGAAAGTTAGTAACAGGGCTTGGCAGGGAACCAGCCATGCAGTTGGAGCTCAAGAGCACCTGCCAGCAAGCAATTTCTGCTTGCTTTTAACAAACCGTGACTTGAAATAAAATGAAAAAAGAGCTACCTGGTGATGGTGAATTGGGATAGGTATTCGGTAGGCGAAAAACATAATAAATATAGGAAGCAAGAAGGCTGTTTCTGCCATGCTGGTCCTGGTTTCCATCCAAGTTCTTGTGAAGTCTGTTTATGATTGATGCCATCGCTTCAAAAGACGCTTGGCCCAGGTTAACTGAAAGTAATAAGTGAGGAGTTTGTTTTAGACTGCAGCAGTACCCATGAGCAAGTCCTAAATGTGCATTTCATCCACCTTCTAAAGGATAAATGGTAAAGCTTGTTAAGAGTATAGCAAGCATTTCTCATGAAAAACTGAACCTGGTATTTGAACTACATCTAATAAACAGCTTGACAGGAAGACAGGTGTTGCAGTGATAAGCTTCCACTTTTATTAATAAACAAATTTAATGAATTTAGGCCTGATTTCTGGAATCAGCCCAACTTTGGTCATCAATGGCAATGGTAATAAGATCAAGTCCTTGTTTAATTGATGGATAATATCCTTTGGATATTTATCATATTTTGCTCAGTTAATTATTTCCTCCATTTAAGCCTTAGCCAAAATATAAACTATATCAAAAAGAACAATTCCATTCTGTTTTGGAAAAAAATCTGATCTAAAAATTAGTGCAGAAATCTACAGAGGGACCAAGGTAGATATTTTAAACAAATTAGGGATGAAGTAGATGGCAGCTGGAGACTGTACATCTTAGTTTTTTAAAAACTAGACACTAATGTTCTCAATGCTCTATACAGACAAACTAAACCAATACAGAACACTTAAAGACCTTTAAAACAAAAAATAAAAATTCAAGCAAAATTCTTCCCCAGAAAGATAACCTTTCTGAAATAAACAATTGCTATTTTTAAAGCAGTGTTAGATACCTATATTCCATCATGTACAAACTCAAGTTTCCTATGAAAAATCCCAACTGCTATTTTAAATACTAACGATCTAATCCTGACTTCCACTTGAGATTTTTTTCTACTGCCAGAGCATACTCATAACAGAGAGCAAAAGGAGGCATTATTCATGCTGACAGTATCTGATCCACAATAGCTAGACGAATATACAGCATCTGTATGTTCTTATCTTACCTACTTCAAGATTTTCCAAGGTGACTAGTAAGGTTGAAATTCTTAGTTTTTGAATGTCAGTATGGAGACACCTTAACAGGCTCCAGTACTAAGAAAATGCTGAGCATCCAACTCATGAAAGTCAGGCCCCTTTCTGGTGTCTCAATGTGGACACCAAATTACTAGTCATTCTTGCAAACCTTTGTATTAAATATTGCTTCTGTGTATATCACCACTGATCTGGAAGCCAGCATGTTTTATTTTGAAGATACATGGTATATTAGTGGCACTAAAATAAGGCATAAAAATGGACTTTTTCATTTCTACATAAATATGGTAGAATTGGAACTGTCAAACTTGCAGCTATGTAATTCTCTATAAAACTTAAATAGAATACCTATTTGGCCTGCAATGACAGGAGGTCTTACTACCAGAAGAATCAGTTTGTCAAGCAGGAGATGAAGAAATCGCACTACCGGCTCCAGTTGAGAGGAATTTAAAGCTGAAATGCTGCTCTTCAGTTCATTTTCCAAGTTGTTTTCCATAATTCTCATGTCTCCTATTCGCACAGGGAACATGTGCTCATCCAGAGCATGGACAAGTGCAAAGAACTTGTCAAGATAAGGGTCCTACACACAAGGAAAAAACAAAAAAAACCAAAACAAACAAACAAAAAAAATCAGCAAGAAGCTCCAAAAGTAACTCCACTTTCTATGGATTTGTACCTCATGGATGGATTCTCTCCCTCATTCTTCTATCTGACCATTTAAATCTCACAAAATTAGCAGAAACTCAACATCTTTGAGAGCTATGCCCATATGTCTAATTCAACTGAAATCAGCCAATGTTCAGAAGTTGTCAGGGCAAAACTAGAGGACCCACAGACTGTGTATTCTTAGAAAAACAGACAAAAATGCACTAAAATCATGTTACTATTTACAACACAAATAAAATACACAAAAAACATCAAATGACATACTGGGAATTAACAAAACAAAAGTTGAAATGATTAGTCAAAATTATTTTCATCTTTCTTTTCAGATCAAAGAAAGACAGATGAAAAATACATGGAGAAATAAAAGAAGCAGAGGGGAAAAACAACAAAATGTCATATGCCTGGACTGTATGTTAGATCTGTTGTATTAAACACAACAGTCTGAGGTCTGAAAACACTGCTGGCCATTCACTCCCTGTGAATAAAGGCCAAACTACTCATTTTTAAGCAGAAATTCTCAGATATACTCACAGCAGAATGTGGAATAACAGGTCTGCTGGCTCAGAACTGAAAATGAGATTGTAATTCACTGCAAGTAATTATTATACTCTTCACAGTATCAACTCTAACAGTGTTTCAACTGTCAAAAGACTATCAAACTCTTTTTATTACAATGACTACTCTCAACATTTACCTGAGTGTGGAGGGATGATACAGCAACAACCTCTACGTTGAAAACCCCTTTGTGGTTATCCACCCACTTCATTCCAGGGAGTGGAACCTGCAGGTTAACAGAAAGATGAGTGAGGATGTGACAGAAAGCAGAGCTAAGGTACTTCTAATTAAAATTGCCATTTCTTTTCATTTTATTGTCAGATCACAAACATGTGCCCACACACAAACATACACACACCTATCTAAACTTAACAGTATTTAAGGAATAAATAACCTAAGAGTTAAAAATACACATGCACACACAATCACACATGTATACGTACACATACATTCTTTGACTTTTTAACAGAAGTATTCTCCTGCTGATTTTCAGCACAAAGAACAACTCACCTCTGGAGAAAGCACTGAATAAGCCTGTGGTGGTTTTTCCAATGAAACAGGAAGGCAGAACTGACCAGTCTTTAACCGTCCATTTTGAAGCATCGGTATCCACTTCAAGGAGAAGGAATTAACAAAAGAAAAAACAAAACCACACACTTCTTAAGGCTTTCTTGAACTTTGCAGCCTTGACTGTCAAATTAGCAAATTCTACAATGGAGTATGAGTTGACAGTGATGCTAAACAAATTGCAAACAATTGCATTATGAATATATCCTGTGCTGAAAAACATAGAGACTGAAAGACACTCACGGTGTATCCGACTGGAGTCTCCAGGGGAGTGTTTTGTTTTTGTTGGCAACTGACATGGTAGAAAGTAAAAAGCAGGTGGTGGTGATCGGTTAAAGTGGCTGGAAGCTTAATCTTGATTTCCTCATGAAAATCAGGCGATCTGTGCAGAGACCAGACCCTCAACTGAGTCATCGATACTAACAGTGTGGTTTACTATCTTATGCTCAAGACCAAATCCTTTGAGTTGAAGTATCTGGAGGGAAGGCAGTATACGGACTATCCCAAGGGATTAAAGCTTCCCTTTCTGATCACCAAGGACTGGAAAAACTTCCAATATGCATTTACAGTCCACAAAAAATGAAAGTGGCAGCCCCCTCCTCACACAGGCACTCTGAACTGCTCCCCACGAGTAATGAACTCGTCTCAAGGTGGAGACTGCCACAATCCCCAACCTGCAGGACAGGATTCTCACCCCACTATATCTCTCCCCAGTACAGCTACAAAGGCAATCAACATGTTAAGGCCAGATTCAACACTCCTTCAAAATTATTTTCAAGACCAAATACTTCCAATTTGTAACTAAAGTCTAAAAGGCTCCAGCAAAATAACAAAGCACATGCGAACATGAGTTTATAACATAAATCCTCATGACTACTAACTTGACGCTCATACTTACAGCATCTGCCAAGTAGGGCTACGTGCTCAGGATCAGAGCCCCTGACACAATGCTGATTTGTACCAGAGCAAACAAAGACTCCGGCTCCTAGTCATGGCAAAACTCTTAACGACAGTATCAACTGACACTGCAGTTGTTGTGAGTGTTAACCAAGATAGTCATTGTTAAATAATTAACACTGAGACAAAGTCACGGGTGAGTTACTCCACTTTCACACTGGTAAATTTCCTTTGGGTGGAATCATACTATCCCAATGGGGTCACGCCCTTTCACAAGCTGTCATGTGTTTTACCTGTTGTGATATACTACAGCTGTGTATGCTTCTTTGGAAAATTCAGGACAGCTAGATTTGCCAAAGATGACCTGCAAAAAAGAAGAAAACCACAGAAATCCCCCTGTAAAACTGTGCCAAGAATTTGTTCCATAATCCCACAGAGACATTTACAGCTCCATGCACAAGTCTCTGTAGCTGTGTACAGTCACATCTCCTTGTTACGTGCCCCTTCACTTATATGCAATGTTTTACTTAGTCACTGAAAGAGTTCGCAATTTTAATAATCCCAGTTACACATGCACACAGATATGGCTGAAGAACTGATGAATGTAACCACCCCTACGCAGATCTTCACCAAGTGCTGATCACTTCTGGCCCTGAACACAAGTATAACTATCACCTTTAATTTTTTTGGCATGGAAGCAGAGATGCTATTCCAAACACAAGGGTGTCCACTGCAAACATCTCAGGTTAAAATACTAGCTACTACATTGTTACTTTGCAAACTCTGTACAAATGTACTCTTTGTTCTGAAATATTGTAATTTTCTATTCCTCTGAACTTGTTATTTTGAAATGTATTTCGGTGAGCTTTTCTTTAATGCAGGGATTTTACAACTGCAATGTGTGCTCTGCCTTATTGGCATGCAGCATTCACATGGAGCACAAAGTACTTTCCTCACCGGCATAGCATTGCTTGGGTCCTCTCCATACATGAACTGGACTTTTACAGTGATATTCCTGGCAGATCCTTGGCGGTTGGCAAAGTTAAGGCTCTGGGGATAGACATAAAGAAGATTCCTGCAAGAGACAAAGGCATCAAGTGAGCATCTCCGTGTGAGAATGAGAGGGTTCACACCTTCATTAATGGTATTATTTAAACCTCTATGGAAACACTCAGAGAGTTAAAGTGAAGGGTTTGACATTTTCCATTAGTCAGATGGTCTTCTCTTCACCACAAGTGCACACCCATACAAGCAATTTGATAATGACCCTTTATTTTAGGCATCAAAAATCATAATTTTTTAAACTGCCATCATATTTTGAAATAGTTCCTGTTTATAAGGGTACTTGAAAAATACATCTAAAAACTTACCAGTGATTCTACAATCTAAGAAGTTCAAGTGGAAAGAAAACATATGAATAGAAAAGCACTGAGAAGTGTTTATTCTTCCAACAGAGTGACTCATTCCTGTTAAACACCTTCCTTGCTGTGACTTGTCCTTTTTTTGTTTGGTTGTTTCTTTTTTAAAAATCTCCTTATATCATCATGACTTCAGGTTACACCTCTCCTCTGAAAACAGATTAAACTAAATGGATATCTGTAGCTTCAGCAGATATGCAATCCTTGCAATGACTCAGATGGAATGGTGTCTCCAATTCCACACCTGAATTCCACACTTTGGGAAGGATGGAGATCAATTAAAACTCAAATCTGAGAAGCAAGAACAGGCAGGAACTCTGGAAAACAGCCGGGATGGCTGGACTGATCCAGGAGCGTTTAGTTTTGAGGGAACAGCTGGGGCCACAGGTAATGACAACACTCCACAGGTCTCTAAAGAACTGCTGCAAAGACTGAAGTAATAAAGTGATCATCACATCCACAGGGAATATGACAGGACGTAATGAGCTGAAATTGCAGCACAGAGATTTACGTTGGATACGAGGGAAAACGTTCTGACTGTAAGGCTAGCTAAACGGTAGAACAAATTGCCTGGGGAGGGTGTGAAATCTCCATTTTCTGGTAGCTTTTGAGGTGAGGCAGACACCTGTCCAGAAAGGTTTATAGACAATCTCAACCTTCACTGGGGGTGGAAGGGCACATTTTGGAGGCCCCTTCCAGCTCCATTTCTCCAAGTCTATGATTACTTTAAACACAACAGTGATGAGATGCAAAATTCTGCAGTATTTTCCATCCTCTTAGCCCTGCTGAGTCCCTGCCAATGAAGCGCAAGTTGGATTCACACACAGTTAGCAAAACTGCCCACTACAAGCCCCCACCTGCCCTATCAGCCAGTAATTTATACCTACAGAAACTCCCTTCCATGTTCTTTTAAAGACAAAAAAGACAACAACCCCCAAACCATCCCACTCAACAGACTCAATTATTCAAAGGAAATATACCTTCTTTTGCCCCCAAACAAGTAAAAGTGCATGAATTATTACACGTCTTTAAAAAGTCAGCCTGGAAATCCCTTATCCATCTCCCACACAGCCCTGCCCACCAGACCAGCACCATTCCCCCTTGGACACCCTGGCTCCTACAGCTCCAAGAAGAAGAACCGAGCGGGATGCTCACCACAGTCTACCCGGCAGCCTGATGGTTAGGTGAGAGGTTCATGTTCCTGCCTTGCACCTCCGAGGGATAAAAGGCTGGCACGCTGCATTTTGCCCAAATGCCGAAGAAACTAATTCTGTAACAAGCTCTGACTTGTAAGGCAAAAAGAAAAAGAAGCTCCCTTCCCCCTCTGGGAACTATTCAGTGAATCTGAACACAATTTGTAAGTAACTTCCAACTGTTCCTCGTCCCAGAGAGACAAGAGACAACAGATGGGCACAGAAAACTGAAGTGAGGAGCACAGCAGGACAACATTTTAAGCATAATAAAGCAGCCGCTACAGAGTGCTGGCAGCAGTAGACTCTTTGATTGTCAGGAGGGCAGTAATTCGGGTGCTCAGTGAAGGCACCTGGTGCCTTTTTAGATGCCATGGGTATCCAAAACACCTGGGCTAGCAGTGGGTCACTCTCCTGGAGGAGCAGCAGCTGGAAAGATGGGCTGAAATTGCACTAGATGTCAACATTTTGGCCAACGAATCCCACCCAAGGACTTGGTTCTGATGGCAACTCCATTTGTTCCCTGATACCCATGGGTATTCCCATCCATACAGACACGGGCTAATGCTGGTCCTAAGGAATTCTCTAAGTGTCTCTGAAGAAGAAGATACCTCCTCCAGGTTAGCACCTATAGAGCAGTCCAGCTGTATAGCTCCAGGAGCCTATATGGGGCAGCAATATGAAGCCAGGCTCTTTTTCACCTCTGCAGGCAGAGAAATATGCTCAGCTGGCATGTGGGAATTTCTTCCCTTTCAAGTCCTTCATGGTGAATTAAGTTTTTGAATCCCATCCCCATTGGTCACTTTGGCTAATCAGCACTCTCTTACTATTTCAGAGGAGGCCTGTGCCGTTTTTGTGACTCCACTAAATTACTTTGTTCTGGCATGAATACATTTGCTCCTTGATGTTCTTTTTAAAATGAAAACGGATATGAAAATTTACTCTAAAATGTACATTGCTCATAAAACTTTTATTAAGTATTATTAGTGCTTAAGAGAAGGATTTAATGTATTTGTGAAGCCAGGCTACAGTATCCCTATATTAAAAGCAGTCCTATGCTTGGGACTGATTTATGCTGAACAGCAGAGATGAGCCTAAACCAAGCTTGCAGTTCTCCTACCACCTCCTCTGCTAGGGCTTGGCCTGCTGGGACCAAAGGAGACATTTCACCAGCTAGATGCCACTCCAGAAAGAGGGTGCTAGAGACCGACAAGCAGACATTACCGCCGACATTACACGTCGGGCAGGGCTTTAGCTACATTCGTAACAACCAGCACTGGAGGAAATGTACAGGTTGTTCCTCCCTCCATCGCCTTCCAAGCCCCTGTCGTGTGAAAGACTGAGAGGGTAACTATTCTGCATTTTGTTAGCAAGAAGCTCATGTTGCTTCGGGGAGTTCAGATGCACAGATCCCACTGTAAGACAAGCGGGAGTTGGATGCTTGCTCCTGTTCAGACAGCTTCTCCCCGGGGGATTTCCTATTACAGGCATCATCCTTTTGTGGAAAACTTACGTATAGAGAGGGGAAAAAATTCCGCCGCTCGCACGTCAGAATGTGACCTCAAATGAAAACTCCTATTTTACCTTACCCTGCATAGGTAAAAGCTGTAGATCCTCCTGTCTGCCAAAAGCAGTTACAGGAGCCATGGAAAGAGATTCACAGCTGAAAAACCAATAGGAAAGTCATAAATCTCTTGAAGGAACCGATGCCCCTGGCCTAATAGCCACCCTCGGTGGCTGACTTCTCAGTTTCTCCTCTGTTACCTTCTTTCCTTCAATTCAATACATCTCAAGTTCTCACCTTGTTATTTGTGTGCACAAATACCTGGGCTCAGTAGGCTTTGCAAGACACCAGAGGCGTAGCCGCTATCCTTGGTAAAAAGGGAAACAAGTCTTCCGTGCAAAGTCATGGTAGAAGCTGCCTCACTGCACGGGTGAGAAGACAGGCATCAAAGTTGCTGGGCTTTTAAAGGCAAAATAAGTGCCATGGCACTGAATGTAGTTTTCAGAAATCAGGAGAGGACAGCCCCAGCCCTGTATTACACACAAGCAGTGGGAAGCAAGAGGAGAGAGCAACTTTCTGGTGGGCCAGACATCATGGGGAGGTGTCATATCACAGCAATCAATTCTTTATAGAAGGGATAAAGGGAGGAGAAGGGGTTGACCACAAAAATAACACTGCAATGCCAACAACCATGCTAGGCAGACACTGATTAAACAAAAGGACCACTAGTCCTTATGCTTCCAGGTAACAGCTACTTCTTGATGATACTATTCACAGATTTCTATCAGTAAAAGTTCCAGCCAGAAGCTCTAAACCCAAGGACTTGTGCCTGGAGCTTTTATTAAAATGCTATGCAAAATGTATGCAAAGCTTATACTATTATCTCAAACAGATCTCAAAAGTACTTTTACTTCCATAAAATGAATTGCTAAAGTGCAAAGGCTTCCCAAGCCATGGAAATAATGGCACCAGGCACTCCTCTAAATATTTAGATAATGTGATTGCAGCCATTTTGCAAAATCCTTCATAAAGGTATTAAAACATTAAAAGCTGATCCTAACTCTTAGAGGGAATGTCTAACTATTATGAAAATTTCTCTTTTCAGTAAAACCCAGAGACCTTTTTCTTTGCTTTATTCCTACTATAAAAATCATTTAAAGCCCATTTAATCAGGGTGACCCAGGTGCATGAAAGATCTTCAGGATCATGTTTGTTATATACATCTTCTCTTGGCTGGGCTAACAGCTCTCAGAGGCAGGATTCCCCCTTAGGGTTTCTACAGCCCCTGAATCTTATGGCTGAATCATTACCAGAAGGTTTTCTTCCCTCTGTTTTCCTGTGTCCTGCTTTGGTTATGGACTCTGTGACTGTTGTGACATCTAAGGGTGGTATTTTGTAGTGAGCTTATCACCGCGTCCTGGTTTCAGCTGGGATAGAGTTAATTTTCTTTCTAGTAGCTGGTATAGTGTTAAGTTTTGGGTTCAGTATGAGAAGAATGTTGATAACACACTGATGTTTTCAGTTGTTGCTAAGTAGTGTTTAGGCTACATCAAGGATTTTTCAATTTCTCATGCCCGGCCAGCAAGAAGGCTGAAGGGCCACAAGAAGTTGGAGGGGACACAGCCAGGACAGCTGACCCCAACTGGCCAAAGGGATATTCCATACCATGTGATGTCATGCCCAGTATATAAACTGGGGGGTGTGGGGCTGAGGGGGGGGATCGCTGCTTGGGAACTAACTGGGCATCAATCAGCGAGTGGTGAGCAATTGCACCGTGCATCGCTTGTTTTGTATATTCCAGTCCTATTATTATTATTTCATTACTGTTGTTGTTATTATTATTGCCATTTTATTATTGTTATTATTATCATTATTAGTTTCTTCCTTTCTGTTCTATTAAACTGTTCTTATCTCAACCCATGAGTTTTACTTCCCCCCCGCCCCGATTCTCGCCCCATCCCAT